TATACGCTTTTTAGATAATATAATCTACTAGATCTATTAATAAGTTAGTAAGAAATAACTTTTAAAGTATATTTAGTAGGTTTATAATAATTCTTAAGTAGATATAGAACGCGCCTTTACTAATCTAACTAATAAAAACTATAAGTATCTCTCTAAGCGTATATATAAGAAAATAACTATAAAATAAGTAAATAAGTATCTAAAGAATTAACTAGATTATATATTAGTAGAAATAGTAGTAAATTCCTAGAATATAGTTATAGTAAAAATAAATAAAATTACGTATTCTAATTATAAGCTTAAGTACTAGAATATAGCTAAGATATTTAAGTATATAGATATTAGTAAGATAGCTAAAATAATTAACTATATAAAGGTAGTTGCTATAGTTAACTATTTATAAGAATAGAAAGTAGTTCTAGATATATAGAAGTAGTTATATTAAGAAGGTTTCTGTTTATTTATAACTATAGAATTAACTAAATATAATATTATAGAAGATATAACTACTAGACTAAGTAATAATATAGATATAGTTTCTAATATATAAAATAACTAGCTAGTGTTATTTTAGGCTAACGTAGGTAGAATATTAACTAACGTACTAACTATAAGTAAAGTTAAAGAAATTAAGAAATTAGTTATAACTATATAAAAGAGAGAGACTATAGATATACTTAGTAATATATAGTATTACTAGAATATATTAATACTCTACGCTAAATATAAATATCTAGAATATCTTTTATATAGTAGAATTAATCTAAAAAGTATATAAGAATAGAGTATAGTAATAGTAGTATAAGAGTAGCTATTTACTAAGATTAGTAGCGTTATACTTTATATATAGAATAGATAGTTAGAATATAGAAAGTAATAGTTTATACTCTAAAAGAGATTTAGAGTAGAAATCTTTACTTTACTTCTAAGAGGTAGAGTACTAAATTTATTTATTAAATAAAGACTAATTACGCGTTTATAAAACTAGATAAATATAGTTATAATCTATAATAGTAATACTATAGAGATAGTAAAGGTTATAGAACTAATCTTTATAAGTTATATAAGAGTAAAGTCTCTACTAATACTACTTTTACTAAAGTTTATTAAGAAGTCTAACCTTATTAATTAGACCTTTATAGATCTACTTACCTTTAGTTAAGATACTTAGTAGAACTTTAAAGTAGTCTAAAACTTAATAGATAATATAAGTTAGCCTAATTTACTAGCGTAAATAGTAGTAATATAAGAGAATAAATAATTCTAAGTATACTTTACTATTAAAATTCTATTAATTTATATATATAAATAGGTAGGTTCTTATAAATATAAAAAGTTAAGTTAACTTAGTAATATCTAGAGATTTGTACATACATAATATTAGAACTTTACCTAGTAATACTTAGAAATTTATAAGTATAAAGTGTTAGAATTTTATTCTAAAAATATAAATATAATCTAGTAGTATAGTTTCTATCTATAAGGTAGTAGAAAATAAGCTAGAAAGTTATAATGCTTACGTTATTAAGCGCACTTCTAGAGTTAGCTTACACTATTAGTATACTTCTAGAGTTAGCTTATAGTATTAAGCGTACTTCTAGAGTTAGCTTATAGTATTAAGCGCACTTCTAAAGCTAGCTTATAGTATTAAGCGTACTTCTAGAGTTAGCTTATAGTATTAAGCGCACTTCTAGAGCTAGCTTATAGTGTTAAGCGTACTTCTAGAGTTAGCTTATAGTATTAAGCGCACTTCTAGAGTTAGCTTACGCTGTATAGCGCACTTTCTAAGTATACTTATAGTAGAGAACGTACTTCTAGAGCTAGCTTATAGTATTAAATAAGCTTCTAGAGTTAGCTTAAGCTATAAGGCTAGTGCTAGAATGTGTAGGTGCACAGACTAAATTTTACAGGATTTAACAGCAAAAGTTGCAAACCTAATAAAGTTAGGGTCGCTTAGTGTTCTCTACTATCGCGTTGACGAAACGAAAAGGTGACGATAGAGTGACAGGACTCTAGGAGATGTGCGATCCAATTCACTATATACATGTGCATCATCTCTACTCTTACCGTAGCGGCAGAGACTTGTCCTCGGCGACCTCGCCTGCATCCTTCACCGGCACCGCCTCCGGGCTCGCAGCAGGCGTCAACCACGCCGCAGGCGCATCACTTTGCGCTGCCTTCTTCGCATCCTTCACCCTCTTGTTGACGAACCCCGGTTCAGGGCTCGCCCATTCGTAGCCAAAGCCATCACCGAGCACCTCTTGGACCCCCTCGGCGAGGATCTGCACTGCCTTCCTGCGGTTCCTGCTCCACTCCCACGCGCGATACCACCGGCCTGCTTGAACCGCAGTCTCCTTGCCGCCCTCCAATCCATCGAGAATAGATCGCCAAACGAGCATTGTCTTCTCCAACTCGGGTGCGCGCGAGACACCGATGACACTGACACCCAGCTTGGAGCCACCGACGTCGTCGATGGACTCGTGTGTCCAGGGCACGCCTGATGCGGGGTCGCCTCGGGATCCACACAGCGCGCCAGCAGATATCCATGTCTCGAGCGCGAAGCGTATGGCGATAACCTCGATGCGCTCGCCATAGTCGTCGCAGAAGTGGCTCGCTTTGCGCACTGCCTCGCGGAGAGAGGATGGCGCGGGGTGCCAGTCTCCGAGGCCACCAACGGGTATGCCGTCGTGTCGGAGGAGGCCCATACCAAGGATGGAGGCGTTCGGGACGACGTCGACGCCCGCATTCTTCAGGCGCAAGATGCCGCGCGGGCCGGCGAGCGACTGGTTCTGGAGCGTGAAGTTGGCGTAGGACTGCACCGCATCGAGTGGCTCGCCGGTCTCGCGGAGGATGAGCTCAGCCATGTCGCCCAGCACATCCAGTGGGTATCCACAGATACCAATGTACCGAATTGTGCCCTCTTCGTCCCTAAGGCGGCGGAGTTCCTTGACTGCTTCCAGGACCTCCGCCGGGCTCACGAACTCGACGTCGTGGCAGTATACAAGGTCCAGGTATTCAGTGTGCAGCCTCTCCAAACTCCTGTTGACGCTCTGGCGCACCCATTCCTTGCTGTAGTCGAACTCTTCGCTCCCTGTCCGCCCGACCTTGGTCAGGATCATGTATGAGTTGCGCGGGAACGTCTCCCGGACGAATGGTGTCGCGAGCGCATCGCCGAGCAGTTGTTCGGAGGGGCCGTAGTAGGGCGAGGTATCGAATGCGCGAATGCCATGAGTGAGCGCCGAGGTCACGAGACCAGTTGTGTCGAGCGCGAAAGGGTCGGTGTTGTATTGCGAGTTGAACGTGGCCGTACCGAAGACCAGAGGTGGGAGAATGGACGACAGCGGGGTGCGCCGACCATTGGCGAAGGAGTACGGAATCGGCTTCTGGCGGGTGGGCAGACTGCTGACGGTCGATGGGTGTTCGATGGGCGTCGTCGCCATGATTGCGACTGTCCGGGCTGCTGGAAAGGCTATTGGCGGGCCGACTACCGTCGCGTCGCTGCTGCGATGTCTATAGCGGGGTGCTCGCTTCGCGGGAGGATGCAAGCGATGCGCGCAAAGCAGGACGAGGAGTCGTGGTAGGTATCGCGTATGTAGTCTCTTCTAATTGCAGTTGGGTATGCAGAACGTGGAAGAAGAGAAACAGTCGGCAGCCTGCGGTTTAGGCTCGCGCATGCCACGCTCCGAAAGCGTGAAATCTATGCCTCACCATCCACCGTTTCGGTTGTGGTAAGGCGCCGCACCGCGATGGCAGGAACAGATGGACTAACGGTCGACCCGCATGACGCCATCTGCGTCTGGAACGCGTTTCCTGGCGCTGGGGCGACGGTAATTGGTTGAGATGGAAAAGTCGAAAGGATGATTCATGGATGTTGTGTGATCAAAGAAGGGTCCACCGCTCAAAAAAGACCCTGCCTCGGCCGCCAATCTTGATTAGTGCCGAAGTATCGGGCGCGCATCTCAACATGCGAACGCCGACACACTACTCCCGCCGGGCTTGGAGAGCTGACATGTCCGCTAGGTGACTGCCTGGGCCGTTACAGCGCCGTCATGAGTTCTGATGCGAGCTGTGTGCTGACTGCAGATAATGATACGGAGACGCTAGCGCAAGACATTCCGCAGCTAATCGGGCCGCCAGACCTCCACAAAATGGTGCAAGCATGCGGCAGGGATGAACATCGCGGACTTCCTTTCCTGTCTTCGTTGTCATCTTCTTGAATCCGGGCCTGTTTCGCGATGATCTGCTCGCGATTACTTTGATTCGCGTTCGGGCTCGGTGTGTGACGCCGCCGCTTTGCCGGTGTCTGCTCCGGCTGTCTGAGCTGCTAAGTCTCGATTCTCGTCCACGGTATGGACACACCAGACTCGGTTCCATCGTGTGTCGAATCATGGTCTGGATGTTGCGCATCTCTACGACTTTTCTGCAGTACGAGCAGAACGCTGCATACCTCCTCATGCACGAGCTGAACGTGTCCCGCTATCCCCTTAGAACCTGATTACGTAGGCAGGGCAGTGGCCGTCGCAAGGGAGTGGCCATCCTCGCAACCTCATCATCCCCACCATCGCGTTCTCATCCCAGCCCAACAGCGCGACAACGCCCAGCGAGTGTTCAGCCTGGAGAGGCTTGCAGATGTTCGACGTCGCTGTATGGTACGTGAACGAGGAGCTGAATGACTGAGCTGCACGCAACTTCCCAATGTAGCCCTCTACTGCTCCCAACAGTCACACTCCGCCTATGAGATACTGAGCTCGCGTCGAGAGTATATTGATCGAGCGCCACATCTCACCATAGGTGATACCTCCTTTCGGCCCCCCGCCACCAACGCATGCATCGTGAGGCTGAACCATGCTTACCCGAGGACGCCTTGGTGCTGCCGGCTTCGAAGGCGAGGATGGCTTATGCTATAACTCCGATGCTTGCCTGCGTCGTCTCGCAACGACCACACACAGCTTCGTTCGTAGCCTCGTGGGGTCCACGACTCCCATTCCCATTGCCGCATCATGGCTTCGAAGACTGCTAGACCAAGCACATCCACTGATCTCGGTCGACTATGGAGAGCCGCCGTAAGAGACTACAAAGAACGCACTGGAGAGGATCTTGCGACTCTGGGCGTGAGAAACGTCGCCGACGTGATGCGCCAAATGAATGCGGACATGGTTGAGTTCAAGGGTTTTCGCGACGACGGCAGCAAGAAAGCAAACTTTCGATCGGCTATGGGTGATCATCTTGATGGTCTTCAGACTTGTATTGACGGATTCGCTGCAGTTGGGGCCTGTGTCAGTGCGTTCCCACCAATAATGCCTGTGGGACTTGTGTTCACTGCCGCGAGTCGTGTGATATCCGTGAGTGTAAATTCTCATCATACGGAAAGATGCTAATCTTTGACAGGCCTTCGCAGGGGTTAGAGCAGATTACGACAGTGTCGAGGAGTTCTTCGCATACTCCGCCCGTTTCTTCCGACGACTTTCGCTTCTCGAGAACAAAGCGCAGTCCGATGCGCTTGCAGTTGCAATCGTCAGAGTCTTCTCAATGCAGCTTTCGGTATGTGCCAGGGTGAAGCAACTGATAAAACACAAACGATTCAGTAAGTTCATTTCCCTTGCACTGTGAATGTGCTGACAGCTTATAGAGCAATGGCTCAATGCATTGTGGAACGAGGTCGATCAAGAGCTCATCGCGACCTATGCCGGAATGCAAGCCTCCATACAGGAACTTAACGAAACCGTCAGTTTCGAAATGTACGGCAATCTGGCAACTGTCCAGCACGACGTGCTTGCCAACAATGCAAAGCTAGACGAGCTCGATGAAAGACTTCAGTCCTACCGTTCCAGCCTGGAGAAAGGCATTCTGCAGGTCTACGAAAGCATGATCAATCTGCATCTTGTAATCAACGATGTACGAAACACACAGTTAGAAGACCACGCTTTGATCTTGCAAATCTTCAAAGTCACGGTGAAGACGAGCAAAGCGCCAGAGATCGAGGAGAAGAAGAAGTCATCCCAAAAGTCTAAAGGAGACATCGCCGACCGGAAGTTCCAAGCCCTGCGTGAATTGAAGAAGTTCTTCGCCAACAAGTACAATACGTTTCCCTCATGGCAAGACGCTCACCAGGAGAACTTGCTACAAGACAAAGAACTGCGCGAGTCAAAGGTGAACAAAACAGCGGGATGGCTCCGTGAACACGAGAAGTTCAAGGACTGGGCACATGGAAAACTACCTTTCCTCTGGCTACGAGGCGCCGAGGGGGTCGGGAAATCATTCCTAGCCTACTCGGCTGTTCAACAGCTGCGACTACACCAAAGTGATCACGACTGCTTGGCCTACTTCTATTTCAAGGAAGAGCATCCCTATCAACAGTCGATGCAGAACGCGTTCGCTTCTGCTGCGCTACAAATCGCCGGATCGAACAACAGATACGCCGAACAGGTGGCGGCTAAAATCAAGCAGGAACCCAGTGAGTGTGCAGATATGTCGACCTGGGAGCGGTTCTTCCTCTCGATGTTTCCGAGCGATACCGAGACTGGTGGCCGCCTCTTCCTTGTCTTCGACGGCCTTGACGAGGCGCATGTGCAAGAGGGCGGAATCTTTACGCAGTTTCTATCGGATGTAAAGCAACGGAACGCCAGCGTCTCAGTCTTTGCGACGAGCAGGCCTGAAGACAAGCCCACATTGCAATTGCTCCAGCCTTCGATCCTTGAGGTTACAAAACATGAGATCAGGCACGATTCGAAGATGTTGGTGAAGGACCGTCTACGCACACTACCGCGCCTGCGCAAGTTCACCCTACCTACCAAATCAGCAATTCGTCGCGAGGTAGTCCAGCACGCAGATAGAATGCTTTACGTTGAGCACATGCTCAGGAGATTCAACCACATCGGTCGAGAAAGAGCTGTCTCGCAAGTATTGAAGGACATGCCTCAAAATCTACACGGACTTTACGATCTTCTTCTAGAAAAGTGCCGACATGATCGATCAGAAGCGCAATACCAGGCAATGAAGAAGTTGTTCGCGTGGCTCGCGTTTTCAAAGCGATCGCTTAGCCTGGGTGAAGCCTCGAGCCTGTGTCAACTCGCTCTCTCGGACGGCACATTCGACATCGAAGTAGAGATCATCGGCCGTTCTTCCCGTATTCTTGAGCTTACCCAAGCTCGGCAGCTCGATTAGGATGTCAAAGACGAGGACAAAGACGAGGACGAGGACGACGAGGTGGAAGATGATGGCGTTCCAGAGCTCGGCTACGGAGACCCCCCTCTTTGTTTCCAGGACCGGTCACTCCGGCAATACTTCAAGAGCGTGAGCGTCGAAGACGATGGTGTAACAGAATTCCGGACGCCTGCCACTGCTGCACACCTAACCATCCTTCAGATGTGTGTAGCCGTCATGATGAAGGCCGCTCAAGAACCCTTCGAAGCGGTAAGTTCTGGGCTAACTTGCTACGCGATCAACTATTGGTATGAGCATCTCAAAGAGTTGGACGCAGAAACCGCGAGCCCCGAGGCTGTCCGCGATGTCGTGACATTGTTGCACTGCATCACGGACAACACACACAACGTCGCCAGGCTGTTCGAAAAGCTAGCGCGACACCTGGAGATCTATCTTGAGCGCGCTGAAGACACCTCTACCGCGTGGTACGAGACTCTTTTCAGCTGGACAGCTAGAGTGTCCACATTACCAGATGGATCCCTGGATGAGAACGTGAAGCTTTGGACGCTCACAGTCGATCGAGATGATGTTCTACTTCTGCTTGCTCACGGCCATGTTCACAACTGGCTAGACGCAAGTGATTCATGGTGGATACCTGAAAGGTTCAGATTCGCCAAGGCCGCGCTGTCTCGTGTAAGTTGATCCTCTTCTTCGATGTCATTTCTAATGATATGCAGTCAAATGCCTCTGAAGCCGACGATTCCGAGCAATTCGAGCCGCTCGATTACATGAACGCTATCATCACGCGATATGATATGCCACCCGCGGACTACAAGACTCTTCGAGCGATTGGGGGCACTTTGTCCGACTACGGAACGACATTCTACGACGATCGCAGAGAAGCTCTGCTTACAGAAGGTACTGTGCATTTGAAAAGAGCTGTGGAGTGTCTGGAAGGAGATGTTCATGAGAACATCGCGACAATGCGCTTGCTGGCATCAGCATACAGGCGATGCGACCAGATGCTCGACGCAATCAAGTACTATGACGACGCCTACAACATGGTGCCGCAGAACGATGCGGATGGATCTACCGAAGAAGAGATTGAGAAGACCAGGTTGATACGTATCGGTATCATGATGGAGAAGGCTTCCGCCTATTCTGCCATGGGCCAGGTCGATGAAGCTTTTCACGCATACAATGAAGCACGGAGACTGCAGGGTGAGAAGCCACTAGCTGGTACAATTCTGGACGACATAACGCGACTGTTCCAGAACGACGACGAGACGGATAGTCGTAGGCTGATGGAAATCCTCAAGAGCTGGACCGAGAAGGAGCGGAACAGTTTCTTTACGTACAATTTCGAGGATTACGTGTTTGAGCGCACGGTGAAGCGCATGCAAAAGGCAGCATTGCTTTGTAACGACGCGGATCTACTCATTGGGTGGCTAAGGAGCTTAGCCAACATTTTTCCGCCGGAAAGCCTACAACTGTTCAACATTCGAGGCGCGATCGCAGACATGTATTACCCAATGTTGGTCGACATTGAAAACGGCAAGAGACTACGCCAGGAGCTCCTGGATTTGCCAACAAAGCCCAGCCTAGCCTATGAAGACTCTATGAATGAGGCGAGAACGCGTCACCGGATGGATGTTGCAGACATCCTGTTTTGTGAGTTCCAGATGACTGATGAACCAACAAAGAAAGAGGCGATCATGGACACATTAAGGGATCTGCCGAGCGCCCACGATAACGACGACGACAGCAACAACGTTCGCGAATCTCATGTCGACATGCTCCGCGCAAACATGCTTCGGATCATGGGCCCTGCGAAAGAGTACGAGAGATACATGAAGGAGCTGTTCAAGAAATGTGTCGCTGGCCTCGAAGACAGCATCTCGTGGAACGACCAGTCGAGCCTGCGATTACTGGCTAAAGTCCTGGCGTCTTTGGACAGCCTGGAGGCTGATGCAAGAATCGCGATCAGCGCCCAGTTCTCGATCCTTGATCTTGCGATTTATGGACGTAATCTCGAGCCGGAAGAGTCCGAGACATCCTCCAACGAGAGCGACACGGAAGCTGATGCAGAAGAAGAGCCAATGAATGAGGAAAGCGAACCGCTAAACGAAAGCGACGTTGTTCGGAACGATTCCCTAACGAATGAAGCTCATGATGTTGAAAGCAAGGATCTCCCGGAAGAGCCGATTGAGGAGAAGCAGGATCCTACAGAGCCGGGAGAACAGGATGTGGCTGAAACGGAATCCAAGGACGGAACGGAGTCTGACGCCAGAGCAGAACCCGACAAGCTGGACGAAGACGTTTTTCTAGCTGGAGGCCTTGACTGCGATGGGCCTTGTGAAACCAGCATCACATCGTGGACCCAGCCAATCTACTACTGCCTCATCTGTCCAAACTGTGATCTGTGCGAAGATTGCCACTCCAAGCGCGTCCAGCAAACCAAGAGGGTCCAACCAACGGAGGACAAGACCGAAGAGCCGTGGCTCAGCTTTTGCGGCGCGAACCATCGCTACATCAAGGGACCGATGAAGGGTTGGAAGGGCGTCAAGAATGGCGTTATCCGGTATGCGGATACGGAGATCACCGTGACGGAATGGCTTCGGGGGCTCAAGGACGAGCGTTGGCCGAAGGCTTGGAAGATCTTTTGGACGAGGCAGGGAGGGTTAAAGGATATCGGGGTTGAAGATTAAAGTAGAGCTATCTTTAAGATATTAGATAATATGTATAGCAAGTTAAAGAACACTACAAGCTTCTACAAAAAGATATCTAAATAAGCTACGTGTTACAAATGAATAGTAATAATTTAATACTTTGTTGCTTTGTTTATGTAAGAGTATTAAAGCTAAACTTACACGACTAAACATTAGTCTACTAGTCTGCTCCGATCAAGCCCTCGTATTCTTGGCGTAACTAACCATCTTGCCAGTGTGCGTCTCAGCTCATCTCTAGCAGCCGGCTTCGTTAGATAGTCGTCCATACCTGCATCCCAACACCTCTCTCTATCGCCCTTGATTGCGCTAGCGGTCAACGCAATGATCGGCAGCTCCCGTACTTGCTCGTTGAACAAAGTCTTGTCGTTGCGGATGCGCCGCGTGGCCTCATATCCGTCGACAATTGGCATCATGCAGTCCATTAGTATGGCATCGGGCCGAAGTTCTGTCGACTCCTTGCAAAGGAAATCGAGTGCCTCTTGGCCGTTCCATACGGCTGAGACGACAAAGCCTAGCTTTTTCAATGCGATGGAGATCACTTTCCGGTTGATAGGATTGTCCTCCACGAGTAGGATGTGGTTACCGATCCCTGGTGTGTTCGTGATTGCGAAGGAGTCGAACGTCATGCCGTCCGTACCATCGGGAGGACTGAGGTGGCGAGCCTTCTTGGTGTTCGCGTTCTCTTCAGGATTCTGTATCTTTGCCTGGCCAGGTAAAGCGGTCGATATGAGTAGACCATGACTTGGCCCATAGTAGATCTGGAAAGGGATCTTGCAAGTTGCGGTGGTGCTTTCTGCATAAACGGATTCCAGCCCGATGTGCCCACCCATAAGCTCAACTAATTGTCGGCAAATTGCCAAGCCCAGCCCAGTGCCGCCATAGAGTCTTGCTGTTGAGCCATCGGCCTGGCTGAACGGTTTGAAGAGTTGTTTGATCGCTTCTTCCGAAATGCCTACTCCGCTGTCCTTCACAACGAATTTGAGGATAACTTGGTTGTTCTTCTTTCCGGCCTCGTGAACGCTAAGTGCAATGTGGCCCTCCTGTGTGAACTTGAGACTATTTCCAATCAAGTTGGTGAGAATCTGGCGCAACCTCCACGGATCTCCCAGGAAGAGTGCATCAGGCTTGAGATCGCACCTAAAGTTCAGAGACAGGCCTCGTTCCCTTGCCTGAAGTCGCAATGGGATAAGTGTGTCGCTAATGAGCTTGTAAGGCGAGAAGGGTATTTGCTCAATATCCATGTGACCAGATTCCATCTTGCTGAAGTCCAACACATCGTTGATAAGAGTGAGGAGAAATTTTGCGCTCTCTTCAATGGAGTTGCTGAATTCCAATTGTTCTTCATTGAGCCCACAATCAGAAAGGTGCTCACTCAGACCAATGATTCCGGATATTGGAGTACGGATTTCGTGAGACATCTAGGTAATCATCAGCTTGAGTCGCGGACTCGATTAGAGCGTGACCTACATTTGCGAGAAATCTACTCTTCAAATTGCTGGCATCGAGCGCGGCTTTCTCTTTGGCGACGAGTCTCTTGTTCTCCGTGAGTAGGACAGACCGCGCCTTTTCTTCGGTGATGTCAAATGTGAGAGCTAGTGCAGCCTGCACAACATCCTCACTTGTTGCGCTCCCATCCACGCATGGAGGGACATGTTCTGCAACAAAACGAGTCCGGAAATAACGATCATCTTCCCAATGTTCCACGATTGGACTGAAGGTGCGTCCCTTGAGAACTCCTTGGATAGTATGAACCAATTCTTGGTCTGGGTTGCGATAGGTCTCTTCCGGTGATTCAATGTACGGAATATCTTGTTCTCCTCTGGTACTTTCCAAAAGTTTTACGACCCTACTCGGGTCCCACTTTAAGCGCCCCTCGCATATATACATTTGATTGGTCTTGTTGATTCCCCACAACATAACATCCGTTTGCGCGAAAAGTGTGATGATTGACTGCCGTCGTATGTCTGCCTTAAGCCGAGCAACGACCCATTCGTGAATGTCCATCATGGACACGTACCAGCGAAGGACCTTTCCTTTGGCATCTCGATTCGGTTCGGCGCGTATCAAAAACCAGCAGAAGGTTCCGTCTGAGGCCCTCCGGTAACGTGCTTGATGCGTCCAATGCGAGCGTTCATGCTGGATAACATCAGCCCAGGCCGATGTCATTTCCTGGACATCATCGGGAAACATTGTGGATATCCATCCGCTTCCTAAACTCTCTTCTTCATTCAACCCTGAGAACGAATACCAAGACTTGGATAATTTGACAACTTGCCCATCTTTGTCCATTGTTGCGATAATGTGAGGAATGATAGCGTAGGCGACGTCCGATGTATCAGTGTTGTCTGAGGTATCATTGCTATCCAAGGACTGATAATCATTTTGTCGTTCGAAAGCATTGATTGGGTCTTTCTTTGCAGCTGGTGAAGCCGGCGCTGTTTGGTGTGGCAAGGACGTCCGGTTGAAGATGATCAAGAAGACGCCGTCAAGATCGGACGATAACCAGTGAACAGATGCTCGGGCTCTGACTACACTGGTAGCGTCATCGGAGTCGTTGGCGCTAGGTATGCCCGCTTGTGAGGAATACCGGGTAACGTATACATTGCTTTCGATGATTGCTTGTTGCTCAGCTTCATCGTCCCAAAAGTTATCGGCGTTTTGACAGTAATCTGTCGTAGAAACGTATCCGCGGATACTTTGTCTATTGGCAGCACCTGATTCGCTAATATCGATGGCAGCAGCTAGAATAGAACTCCACGTCCACAGAACTGGTAAAGCACCAGGCAATGGAATCTTTGCAAGATCGGCAATATTTTCGCCAAGCAACGAGCCTTCTGTGGCAAAAGACGCGTCTTGTCGCAAGGGCGACAGGAGTCGGACGCTGCCTTCGTTTGCAGCGACGACGGTGCCGGAGCGGTTGAGCATCAGCGCTGGCGTGATCTGATGCGCAAGAATCGCCTGGGCATCAGGCATATCGCGCGCCATCTTGGGAGAGATAGACAACAAACTAGCAGACTGAGGTAATCTGGTGGTGGTGTTGATAACCGCGAAGGTGGTTATTAGGTACAACACGTGCTGTGGTACGAGCTCTTACGTGGGGCCTTCGGAAGCGTTGCCCTAGCGAATAAGGATAGGAACTCAAGAAAGGGTCTAAAGTTACCCCGAACAAGTCGCTCATCTCCACGCGCAGATCAACGACACTTTCGCGACAGCGAATAGTCGTCACAGCGAGTCTTCGTCGTTGCCTAGAGAGGCGCGCAGATGTTCGACGTCGCTGAACAGTACATGGACTAGGAGCTAAATAACTAAGTTGCACACAGGTTCCTGATGTGCGAAGGAGCTGGTTTCTAGTAAGTCCCAGGGCTACACCGGATTCGGCCTGGGGTATGGTCGTCAAAAATGACTAGCTCCTTCGTAGCCCGCTGCTGGCTGATATAGCTGTCTGATCTCGCTGTTCATCCACAACACAGGCTTCCAAAGGTTGGGTCGGCGAAACGACACTGCGTCGACGTCTTCGAATCTTGGTGGCGGTGATGTTGCGCATCTGTGCATGAATTCATCTACATCTATTGTGCGCGAAATGCTGTACACATCGATCTATTGTATGCGGGACAGGGCGTCTTTTCGCGACTTGCATTGGCCTCAGACAAAATTGGCGCTGACGGTCGCTCGCTCCTCATTACTGCATAAGGTGTCGAAAACATGTATAGAAGCAGGCTGAGCAGGCCAACAGAGATTCATTAGATGGCACTCGCTTGTTTAGCTGTGATGATCGAAGGCAGCTGCATTGATCGCAGAACAGGTGCGTACATTGCAGCAATGGGGACCTATAAGATGTGGTCTTGTCTGGCTTTTTGGTTAGATTCGTTGTCTATATGCTTACTTGATCCTTGTGGTGCTGGTTGTCTTACTTCGAGTGGGTACCTGGATGTGGAGTGCAAGGTAGTGGAATGCTAGTATGGCGGTTTCTTTTACGGCGCACACTACAGAGTTGGACGAGATCGAGCATGGGCGATCTTCGATGCGGATCTACCGTTCCAGTCTGCGCTGTAAGATACCGTGCTTCCTGTTGGTGGAAAGGTTTACTGCATAGCTATTGGCGACACAAGCTAGATATACCGGTCTTCGTATGATCGAGACTTCGCTGTCTTGATACTAAGAAAAAGCCAGGCTAGCCCGGAATTATTCGAAAGAGTCGGACTATGTAGAGACTCGTCATCGGATTTGTGGAAATAGCTGTTCGAGACTGCATCGTGGCGGCGGCTGATGATTGTGTAGAAATTACGGGAACTGTTTGCCTAATGACGGATGTGAAAAGTAGCCAGTAGCACACGTTCCAATCATGAGCCATTATTTTTCAGTACCTCCGCTCGATGCTTGGTTTCACCCAATGCGGCCCCTCTGCGCACGTCTTTCCAAAGTTCAGAGTGTCCATATTCGATCTATCCCAGCCACTAACGTACTTTCTGTCCTCTGGGTCATGATGACCATCCGGCTGCTTCGCACGACCAATATACAAGGCCTTGGAAAAGTAGCAATGTCTCCCATGCCAGGTGTACTGCATGCATTCGTCATGTTCAGTACACCCAACTCTGCAAGCATCGAGGCTCGTATGGACTGTGGAGTTGTCTGGGAGCTGAAACCCCGCATCGAACGCTGCGTCCCAATTCTCGCGCTGTGGGTACTCGCCTTGCAAGGCGGAGAGCAGGGCGCGGTATAACAGGTCGCGATAGCGCATGGTAACGTTACTACTTGCTTTCCATTCATTCTCCCATGACCAAAGGTCTTTGTAGAGAGCTGGGTCGGTTTTGTGTAGGCTGATGACGGGTTCGCACCAGTGGTCCTCACCAAAGGGAACATTTTCGAGTCGATGAGGGCTGAACATGGGCCATAGACCGCTGATATCGATCCCGGCTTTGTCATGCAGCGCCCACCCTAGTATGCTGTCGCCACAACAATCGGCTCTGATGTCTTTCTTGTATTCCGTGGTGAGACGAGGACCCTTGAGACCGAAGGCGTTGCGGTGGCGATCAACGAGTCGATGCGCAGCGGCTTGGGAAAGTATGAAGCCGGCGCCTCCGTACGCAAACCAGACTTGTCTCTTCACGTCAGGCTGCGCGTCAGAATGGTACGTTCGTCCGGGCGAAGGCGATCCAAAATAGTAAGGCAGCGAGCTATTGTAGTTCTTCAAAAGACGGAAGACGCTGTCCCAGAACATGTATGTATCGCTCTCGAGGAAGACGTACCACTCGGCTGCGTTGTTGTATTCGATCGCCTTTTCCACCCCCGGTAGAAATTTATACTTGTCAAGCCTCCACCCTTCATGGCCCTGTTGTAGCTTCGTGCCCTGGCGACTTGCGTTCTTCTGCGTCTGGTAAACGACGTAGTCCTCTGGTTTCAGGTACGTGTTCGGTGGCAAGTCTGCTAGAACGTCGACAGTTCGATGGATGCGGCCATAGGTATGATTTCCATCTGAAACGATCAAGACGTTAGAGATGCACTTTATGACTGTTGAGAGCTGAGCATCCGTTCGTGATTTGTCGTCTGCTGATCCGGTCTTCAGGATGACCTGAACCTTAGAGAGCAGATGCACTGGGAATAGAGTGCATTCGTCCGTAGAGCCGTCCCGCCATTCAGAGTATCTTATCTTCTTGAACTGTGTCGTAGTGTTCCAGGTCCAGAAGTCCAGCCCATTGTCGCCTTGCGGGTTGACTCCATGCGGTAGCGGCGCGAATGGCTTGGGGTGGAAGGCTTGTTTCCCTAGGATATCGCTCGGTAGAGATTCGATGTAAGCCCAGTCGAAGAGGACGAAGCAATTGGCTCCGATGGCTATGCCAATGAATGCGTACAGCAGCCGAAGGGTGCGCCCGGTGGCGAAAGACCTGACACTGGGTAAGAAGCGGCGTGAGCCTGTAAGCATACTGGAGATTGTGTGTAGGCGTCGCGTCACGACACTCTACGTCATTTCGAGTTCGTCGAAAGCAAAGATACGCCAGGAGTCTGGCACTGGATGTGCTAACGTCGAAAGATCGCAGCGCGTATGGGTGCACATGCTTGTCGCACTGCTGGCCCGGGAGATTCGATGGCGACACCATGACATCTTAGGCGCCCTCTTTGGGGTGGTCGCCTTACCTGACACTCCTTCCAGCAGGATTGCGCCGCGAGACAGGATGCCGCGAGACAGGGTGGTGTTAGTTAGCGAGGTCTGCCCGCTGTGATAACGACGATGCCGCTACCCGCGCCTAGCTCATCGGGCCCGGGCAAGCAGCCCTCCGCGCCTCCGTCGCGGCTCTCCAGTTTCTCACACATGCGCTCGTACAGCCGGACAATCGCCATTGTTGTCGAACAGTCAATCTGGCATGATGCGCAACGGTAATTCTTATCGCGAGGAGCGTATCAAAATCATTGGGCAACCACCTCGGGCGCGGCACGCAGGGCGCGAATGCAGACGCCTGGTGGCGGAGCAGATGTCGGCAGGCAATCACGGTGTTGGAGCAGTGCACGAGACGAGCCAGTGAGAGACCAGTACAGGATTTGCGTGAGAACACTATTCGGGTCGATTTGTTCGATGCAGATTGCGTGGCAGTCTTCATTGGTGAGGCTCAGCCTGCGCCGCATCAAGCCAAGACCGCGGGGCAATCATCGCTATGAGATCCAAAGACGACTCCCAACACACCACTCCTCAAGAAGCTTGCTAGAACAGAAAGCGCTCGGTCATCACAGCTTCGACACTTTCCAGTCCGTGTTCAGGTGGGCATGCAGTGGCGGACGCCTCTGATTGACTGATGTTCGATTCGCCATGGAATTCTTGGAAGGAGTGAAGTGCGAACGCTGCTCCGCCATACCCTGGGTACGGTGGTATGTATCGCTTCGTGAGACTTTGCAATTCACAGAAACTCCAGAACAACTTCAAAGCGCTTCTTGTCCAATCTGCAGGGTTATCGGACGCGGGATTGCGAAATACGATGAACCTGTAACATGTCTGCAAAGGGACATCTTCCCTCCGGAAAGGGATGAAGGCTTTCTTGTCGGGCTTCCGCGCGTGCATGTGCTCGCGGACTTCATGCTTTACGATAAAGACGACAAAGATTTCATCAAAGCCTGCAAAGTCCATCCAAAGCGGGTCGACTTTACGCACGCGAGGCAGTGGATACGCAACTGCATATCGTCACACGTCGAATGCAAGTCCCCGCCGGGCTCAGCTCTCCAAGATCTGAAGGTGCTCGACTGTCACAATAGAATCGTCGTTTCGGCACCGGAGTACTGCGAATACGTTGCGCTTTCATATGTCTGGGGAAAAGCAAAATTGGAAAACGCTCCGGAGTTTCCGCGAATACCAGACACACTTCCTCGCACTGTAGAGGATAGCATTAAAGCTACTATAATGCTTGGGTATCGTTACCTTTGGATCGACAGATATGTACGCCGGCCGATAGAGTCTCTTGAGGCGTTGACTAATGGCGCAGTGCATCGACCAAAACGATGCTATAACGCGGCAGCATCAAATCAACCAAATGGGCACGATCTACTCCTCGTCACAGGTAACCATAATCGCAGCCGCGGGTCATAAGGCACTCGATGCAGATGCTACGTATGGTCTCCGGGGTGTCACGGACGACTTCGAAACGCCTAGTTCTTGCGCGGTTTCCGATCGACTACGCCTCGTGCATACCAGAATGACCATCTGTCGTTGTATCCAATTGTCAAATTGGTATAGTCGAGGATGGACATTCCAAGAGGGCTTTCTGTCGAGAAGACGGATGTACTTCACCGACGTCGGCGTGGAATACATCTGTGACAAAGACCGCGGGAGCGAAGCTGCTAAAAGCCTCGCTGCAACGCTACGCGACCCAACTCGAGAGCCGGGTTTAGCCTACATGGAGCGAATGATGCACGAATACACAGGGCGCCGTCTTACGTATGATCATGATGCACTCAACGCTATTATCGGTGCGCTCGAAACCCAAGCAGAAGACGACCACATATGGGGCGTTCATCTTGTTAAAGATGACATAGCCACGTACGTACTTCTGAATTGGCGACACCGGTACCCTCTCCCTCGGCGCGAGCAATTTCCCAGCTGGTCTCCTGTCGGCTGGCGTGGTCGAGTCGATTACTATTCGGAGCATCCTTGCATCTCAGACGAATGTTCACTCGAAGTCTGGTACAAGAATGGATACAAGCCATTAGCCCATGTTACTGGGAAGCTATCACAACAAAATCATCTCCCAGGAGCGGAGAGCTCGAGGTTCCTCAAAGTGACGACTAAAATAATACCTATTGAGTTCGTGCGCATGAAAGGCATTGTGTCGGACGACTCGGACTATCGTTCGGGACTTTATGCTAAAGTCCCATATAGTGATTCTCTCGATCTGTTCACCCTCGCTTTCTGGGATACTAAGGACAAACCTGTACTCCGGCGCAAACAAGGAAGTATTAAACTACCTTCCGCCGTAATCATTCGAAGAGCGGAGAGGCATTATAGACTGCGACACCCTACTCCATTCGAAGAAGAGATTCAGATACTCATCCTGCGTCAGCACGATACACATCACGAACGCATCGGATTCTTCGCCTGGGATAGTTTCCTGCTAAACACCTATTCGGAGGAGGAGGAATCATGGGATAGTGACCAGTCGAGTGACGGTTCGTCGTCGTTTGACCCGTATTACGAGCCAGAGGAGACCACGTTTGCTCTAGATAAGCAAGGCAATCAAGTTGATTTTACCCTTTCTGGGGGGGGTTCCCGACGATATGGAGACGGTAGGTACTGGTTGAAGGACGGGATTGAGACCACCTTCCTTTTGGGCTAGTCGGGCAAAGCAGTCACGAAGAAACACATATACATGCCGCACACATCGGTTCGAGAACGCAGTCGCTGATTTTTCATGTGCTTTTCATTCAGTGGCTTTATAGGTCGTTCTTCAATAACGCGACAATCGAACTGCGCAGCGAGTTCTACACACATTGTCACCGTCGCGCGAACGCTACAGACACCGATCCACTTATCCTTTCTGCCAATTCATCTTCATCACCGCAACTATCACGATTAGCTTTAAGACCGTCGCAATAAACGCCTCAATGCCGCTAACTTACGCACTGGAGCCTCTGGGAGCTGAACATGCATCCATTCAAGGCCACCCGCTGGCAACGCAACCACCATTTTATCTGTGACTCATCAGTTCAAGAGAAGGCATATGCGAGCGAAGCGAAGACTTACCGGGGCCGCATCGCAATACATCCTGGTTGTTCTCGCGAGCATACTCAAATTCTGGCATCGATCTAGAGTCGTCGACCCATGATAGAGGCGTGGGTGTGGTGTTTCCGGTGTCGCTCTCGATGACACCCATAGACCAGTCTGTACCCCAATCCCTACTGACCAAGCGGCCGCCCGCTAGATTGAAGACTGCGGCGTCTTTGAACTCACCGAGGCGCACTGGATACGCGTTCTCGGGGTTAGGGTCGTACCTGTTATAAGGGATGATAAAGCGACCGTTGATCTCAATGATGAATGCGTTAGGAAGGTCGCGATTACCCATGTTGGTGATCTTCTGGAGATGTGGTCGTCGGGTAAGGATTGGAAGAATCCGATGTGGGTATGATGATCAGGATCGGAAGCTTGGGTGAGCAGTCTTTATGCACTTGATGTGCCTGCATCATGTCCGCCAGCATCCCGAGAGGTAGTGAGTTTCTCGTCATGTGTGATGGGCACCGTTCTGTGTAGAGTCTTCTTGTCTCACAAGCCTCCGGCGTCTCTTCACCATTCGGGGTGGCCGATACGTGGATATATCTTGGTGCCGTGGCAGCGCAAGACAAAGAGAACCACTGTTTTTCACAAGGAACTGTCGATTAGGACCGTCGATCGTGGATATATCCACAGCGCGATGTGGTATCCTGAGGCGACTAGTGCGGGCGGCATGTAAGCACGATTGCACGTCGTGCATCGTCAACTCGGGCATATATGAGACGATTCGTCGACTAGCTCCAGATGAATAGAAGCTAAAGAAAGCACATCTGCGCATATGCTCGGGTTGGGCCGCAACGAACTGGTGGCTGGTATTGGTGATCATGAACGACGTGTCGTGTTAGAGGTGCCACCAGCGCATGGTCGGAGATCATGAACATGATAGGCGCGGGCACACAAGTCTTGAACCCGGTGACACAAGATCTTCGGGAGCAACACGATCGTGGGCAACCGAAACGATTTGGGCACGGTGAAGTTGAGAGCTGCAGACGCTACGAATGCAGGTGCGCTTTTGACGATGACGACCCCGCTCTCTCGCTTCGTGAACTGCAAGCCCATTCCTTCGTTCTTGCGCCCCTTCCTGGGTTACCATGCGTCACACAAAGATAGCATTTCCCCCATAACGTAAGCCTCTACCAAAACACAGATTGATGCATTGCAAGCTGCACAACCAGACAACGTCGCTGGCTGTATACATCAAGAAACAAAGGTGCGTCGCTCGATCGACGCGGTTCGGGACAATATCGCTACACGGTGAGAATGCCGCCTGAACTGCTGGAGCATGAAGTTGTTCTGAGCTCAGCACGTACACACCCGCCGATGAACGATAATCTAACCCATTCCTACATTACCAACAAGACTAGTAATGCCACGCACTTCTGACGAAAGATCCATGTGACAACAACCTCTCGCAACCGCTAAGCCTTTGTCTCCTGCCAGTGCAACTTTGTCCCAGGTCCTGATATGGTTAGTCGAGAGACACGAAGCAGCATCTCCAAGGGATGCGCTGCTTACCGATATCCATGGTGGGAGGGCACGCGTACAATCGCGTCTGCTCATCATCGTCAAGCAGCGCACCGAGCGGAAAGTCTACAGGAACGTCAGCCAAGAGGCAGTTCGACATGCTAATCTTCAATGCTCAAGCAACCTCAACAACCTACCAAAAGACTCCAGTTGAACATCGTCACCATCCCCCGTGTACTGAACCGACTTCACCCGATGAAACTGCTCGGCCCAGTACATAGGCCTAGGGTCAAACTTGTCTTCCTCGTCCATCAAGCGCCCGACAACGAGGAGGCTGACTTCGTTGCGACTAAGTAGGAGTCCGTTTTCCAAAGTGAACACTGCAGCTTTGTCGCGGTCTCCCATGCTAACGGGGTACTTTTCCTGCCAATTGGCCGCGAGGTAGGCGGTCTCGGTATCAGACAGACTACTGACGAATTGGCCGTTAAGCTCGATAAGAAAGCGGCGGTCCAGGTTTGTTTTGGCCATGTTAACAGATTGGGGAAGATAGCATGGAAGTATGGAAGAGTATAGAACGCACCACTTATGGTGTTTAAGAAGGCTTTGTATACCGTGACTTGGTAGTACACATCACGGAGCTGAAAGCATGTCGCATATGCCTAATTCGTAGTGGTGTAGAACTAGACGGTCGACCCGATGAAAACAAGCTAACGCGAACCAAAGCCATGCGTACTTCTGTGCCCCCGAAATGCGCAGCGGAGCCATCAAGCCCAGTCAAAGAGGTCGTGCATGACTACTGCATGCGAGCCTACAACTACTACGGCTACTAGTACATCCTCGTTAGTGTACTACGGACATGCTCGCGGCGGGTTTAGTGTGCCCAACTGGTTATAGTCAACTTGTTTGGCGACAAATGCTCGTTGCTTTTTGAATGCGCGGCGTCAAGGAAAGAGACAAGGGCAACTCTGCTCATGACCGTTGACCATTTGATTCCAACTTGTTCCTTCCAACTTCCTTCACAGAAAATTAGTATGTCAAAGGCCACTTTAGAAAAGAGCTTTCTCATCGAGATTGACGGTCAGTTCATCAGTAAGCCGCTCGGCTACGGACCTGAGGGTTACGGTGACGCCGCCGGAGGTCAAGCTACCGTCGGAGGACGCGATGACGCTGCCGTATTCACGCTGCAAGACGGACACCTACGCATCGATATTGATACAGGTCTGATGTCCCTGGGGCGCGATATTCATGAGATGACACTCTGGGAGCCGAAGCGCATGTGGTGGCTCAAGGATCAGAACCAGGTGAAAACGTGCGAGTATACGGAGAGATCGAGTGGCCCCCGCTTGAATGTGTCCGTATGTAATCTCGCGTCACGAGCCCTTTTGAACTCGAAAGTGAGCTTCGTTGACATCTGCGCAGAATTTCCGATCGGCGCGCTGACTGACCATCAAGGTTGCACGCTTGTATTTGCCATCCAGCCCCGCGGGGGATCATTATGGTAAGCTAGCCACCTGTTGAGACCTCTGCATGTGTGGTTTTGTCTATATGCTAATAGTTGTAGGCAATGAGACGAAGCTTCGCTGGCAGGAGGGTCCAGGGGAAATGGTGTAGGCCAGGATAACGAAGCGGAAATTTGACGGCTGCAAGATGCACCTCAAGCCCTTTTGGGTTAATCATAGCCTGCCACAATAGTTGCACAATCAACCAAACCACAGTTCCACTTCGTGAAATAAGGATACTCTGCATACTCGAATATTGCGGCCAGAACGAGCTGGAATAGACGCAGTAGTAGTAGTAGTAATGGTTGCACAGTATGCAGCATTGCCACGTGTCTGCAGCCGTGTAGACCTCTGCGGACACATTAATGATCACGACGAAAGGGCAGTTGCTTTGAAACGTATGCCATTGGATATATACAGCCCTCTCCTCTCTATAAGATTGCCTACAACTTCGCAAACACAGTCGGCACAGCCCCACCCATCTCCACAAGCGTACTCTTATTCCTTACCCAAGCCTCAAGACCCTTCTTTCCATTCTCCACACCCACACCACTCTGCTTCCAGCCACCGACGCTCATCTCCGCCGGACTCTCGCCCCAAGTGTTGACCCATGTGATACCCGCTTCGAGCTGAGCGATGACCTTGTGCGCTAGGTTGAGGTCCTTGGTGAAGACACCCGCCGCAAGACCGACATCGGTGTTGTTGGCGCGTTGGACGACTTCCTCGACGGTCTTGTACGTGAGGATTGACATGACGGGGCCGAAGATCTCTTCGCGCACGATCTTCATGTCGTCGGTGCAATTTGTAAACACGGTGGGTTGGACCCAGTACCCGTTTTGGTAGGCTTTGTCGCTGTGTGACGCAACCCATGATGGGGTTTCGGGGCCTCCGCAGAGCATCTTTGCCTTGTCGTTGTCGCGGCCGTGCTTAATGTATTGTATGACCTTCTCATAATGAGGCTTTGAGACCAGCGGGCCGAAGTTGGTGGCCATGTCGTGGAGATTGCCTGGGCGGATGTATTGCATCTTCTCCAGTAACCGCTTCTCGAATTCCGACTTCATTGCTTCGGGGATGAAGACTCGTGTGCCGTTGGTGCAGACCTGTCCTGTTGAAAAGAAGTTGGCTAGCATTGCGCCGTCAACTGCCTGATCCACGTCCGCGTCTGGGAGGATGACGCATGCCGACTTGCCGCCCAGCTCCATTGTCACGTACTTCATCTCGCCGGATGCGCTGCCTGCGACCTTCTTGCCTGTCGAGACTTGTCCGGTGAAGCTGACCTTGGCGATACCGGAGTGCTTGGTGAGGTATGCGCCGACCTCGCCGCCGCCCTGGACGACGTTGAAGACACCGGGCGGTACTCCAGCTTCAGCGTAGATGTCCGCTAGCACTGTGGAGTGCAGTGGTGTGAACTCTGACGGCTTGTAGACCATGCAGTTGCCGGCTGCTAGGCATGGCGCTGACTTCCAAAGCGCGATTTGAATGGGGTAGTTCCACGCGCCAATGCCCGCACATACGCCCAGCGAGTTCTTGGTCGTGTACACCCACGCATCTGGTCGCAGTTGTGCCGTCTCGCCGTTCATACCACCTCCGCCTACGAGGTTCGCAAAGTATTCGAGGACATCGGCGCCGGTGACTACATCGACGGTCGACGTCTCGGAGAAGGGCTTGCCCGTGTCGCTGGTCTCGATCCGGGCGAGTTCGTCATTGCGTGCGCGAAGCAGGGCAGCCGCTCGCTGAAGGATGCGCGCGCGCTCGATGGGTGGTGTCGCGGACCATGCGGGGAAGGCCCGTTGCGCCGAGGCTATCGCAGCATCTATGCCAGCGTTGGAGGTTGTGTGGATGTTTGCGACGGGTTGGGCGGTCGCGGGGTCAATCGTCTGGAAGGTGGAAGTGGAAGCGCCTGACTGAAGCTTGCCGTCGTAGTAGGCTGATCGGGGCGCATATGGGAGAGACATAGTGAGCGGCTTGTTGGCGCAATGGATAAGCCTGGGGTTGCTTCTGGCGTTGACACGGAGTCGCAAGAGTTTGGTCGCCACGATGGTCACGATGAGCGAGATGAACCGGGAGAAGTCTTATGCACAGTTTGATCTGCACATGTCAGCCAAGTGGTCAAGATTGGCGCGGTGATGTAACGTGAACGAACATTTGTATGGGCGATAGCGGCGGGGAGCTTGGATGCAGCTGTTGCGCCTCTACTTCCTTTCACGATCAGTAATCCTTCGGAACGTCGCCGAGGGAGTACGTCAGCTGAGGGATATGCAAGGGGTGCGATCAGGATAGAGAAAGTAGCAAAGTCTCGCTTTTCAGCGGGATGGCGTCGTTTCCTGTCGCTGCTGCTGCTGTCTGGCACAAAAACGTCGCTCCGATGGCTGCCGCCCTCACCGCCCGGAGATCGGGGAAGGTGCGGCATCGACCGACAGGGATGGCCAGCTCGGAAGCTGCAGCCCAGCGGGGTCGCGCTAGGCCCAACGCGCCCATCACATCATCGGACGCTTTTACGACGTCTTTTTTCTTTCACTGGCGACCACGCGTGCAATGTCCACGTCGTCACCAACACCATCGTAGTCGATGTTGGACGCAATTGATCAATCACACTTACAACCTGCTCACAGCGTGTCATTTGCCACTACTTCGGCCCATCGCCTTTCCTTCCTCGCGCACCGTCGCAACATCGCTGACATCCTGAGGCGTTGGAACCAAGGTTGAGCACGTGCACGCGTCCGGTCCAACCGTAAACGGCCCTATTTAGCATAGTCTTATCTGGAAGGCGAACGACACATCTTGCAGCGGCGCACGACTCTCCATTCCCCAGCCTCATCGCCAGCTCACTTTTGCTGCTCCGACCTTCTGCCGACCGCCCGATCGCGACGCCCGGCCCATCTAGACACCATCGTCTCCTTCGAGCGATAGTCCGGTTGGATATATAAGCTTGCCCTGACGTGAAAAGCTCTCTTTAGCAGAAGTACATTCTCGCCATCACCCCAAGCCCACCAGCCACACGCAACAATGGCTTTCGAGACCGTGACCTCCATCCCCAAGGATGCCGAGTATGACTTTGTCATTGTCGGAGGAGGCACAGCTGGCTGTGTCATCGCCTCGCGACTCACCGAATACCTCCCCAACAAGAAGGTCCTCTTGATTGAGGCTGGCCCAAGCGACTTCATGGACGACCGTGTGCTGCTGCTCAAGGACTGGCTCAACCTTCTCGGAGGAGAGCTCGACTACGACTACGGCACCACCGAACAGCCCAATGGCAACTCCCACATCCGACACTCACGTGCAAAGGTCCTTGGTGGCTGCTCATCACACAACACCCTCATCTCCTTCCGGCCGTTTGAGTACGACTGCAAGCGATGGGAAGCCCAAGGCTGCAAGGGCTGGAGCTTCAAGACCTTCATGCGCGTGCTTGACAACCTGCGCAACACCGTCCAGCCTGTCCACGAGAAGCACCGTAACCAGCTCTGCCTCGACTGGATCGACTCGTGCTCAACCGCCATGGACATTCCCGTGATCCACGACTTCAACCACGAAATCAAGACCAAGGGCGCTCTCAAGCCTTCCGTTGGTTTCTTCTCCGTATCATACAACCCCGACGATGGCCGCCGGAGCAGCGCTAGTGTCGCCTACATCCACCCCATCCTCCGCGGTGAAGAGAAGCGCGACAACCTGACTGTTCTCACCAACGCTTGGGTAAGCAAGGTCAACGTCAAGGGCGACAAGGTCACCGGCATTGATCTCGCGCTCCAAAGCGGCGAGAAGTTCACGCTTAACCCCAAGTGCGAGACCATCCTCTGCGCGGGTGCCGTCGACACCCCACGATTGATGCTCCTCTCCGGTCTTGGTCCCAAGCAACAACTTTCCGACCTCGGCATCCCTGTCGTAAAAGACATCCCCGGTGTTGGTGAGAACTTGCTAGACCACCCCGAGAGTATCATCCTCTGGGAGCTCAACAAGCCCGTACCCGCAAACCAGACCACCATGGACTCTGACGCTGGCATCTTCCTGCGCCGCGAGATTCCCAACGCAGCAGGCGGTGACGGCGACATTGCCGACATCATGGCTCATTGCTACCAAATCCCGTTCTGCCTGAACACCGCTCGGTAAGCCCAACAACCCCACATTTCCGCGCTGCAACTAACATGATCACCAGCATGGGTTACGACTCCCCCATCGACGCATTCTGCATGACGCCCAACATCCCCCGTCCCCGCTCCCGCGGCCGCATCTACCTCACCTCCGCCGACCCCACCGTCAAGCCCGCGCTCGACTTCCGCTACTTCACCGACCCCGAGGGCTATGACGCTGCCACCATCGTCGCTGGTCTCAAGGCCGCCCGCGAAATCGCCAAGCAAGCCCCCTTCTCCAACTGGATCAAGCGCGAAGTCGCGCCTGGCCCCAAAGTCCAGACCGACGAGGAGCTGTCCGAGTACGGTCGCCGCGTCGCACACACTGTATACCACCCCGCTGGCACAACAAAGATGGGTGATGTAACAAAGGACGAGATGGCCGTTGTGGACCCCGAGTTAAAGATTCGGGGCCTCAAGAGCGTCAGGATTGCGGATGCGGGATGTTTCCCCGAGATGCCCACCATCAACCCCATGTTGACTGTCCTGGGTATCGGTGAGCGCGCTGCTGAGCTTATCGCGCAAGAGTGGGGCTGGAAGGGTCTCCAGAAGGAGAGGTTGTAGACGCGCATCGCATTTCGAGAGAAATGTTTGTGTTTGGTGGGTAGATGTGTGTTGGTACGATGGTAAGATAGATGTGAGTTGATAAGATAATGAGTGACGACTTTGACGGTCACCCCAATGCGACAATACCCTTTGCAGCAAGATATCATATATGGATTCGTAAGTGAGTCAATTGCATGTGTGAGTGGATTGGAGAGGAGACGGGTGTTTGTGACTGTGCGACTTGATCGACATGTGTCTAAAGAGCTCGACGTTTCCCCTGTTTGCGCATTACTGCCCCGTTCACTTGGTTGACGGACGGGTAAGCTATCTGCTTGCGTGAGCTAGGAGACGGACTTGGGCGTAATCCCTTGTGACTCTATCGCCCGCTGACTTGGACCTATATGAGGCTTGGATGCAAACATGTTTCAGGAGGATCGATTGTAGGGATGTCTCGCGAGCCTACTTCAACAGCAAATGCATGATCATCATCATCATATCGAAAGGACGGGTACATCAGAAGGTAAATGATAAGGAAGCAAGGCTCACGATGGACAAACAACGCGCTGGAAAGTAGCAAATAACGTCAAATTCCGTCTCCCATCTACACTACCCATCCTCTCCTCTTTCCCTTAATCCTATCCCCCATCTCCATCTCCATTCTCATCTCATCCCATCCCCCATACTCCTCCCCTCCCTTCTTCTCTCTCTTCATACCACCCTATCACGTAACAGTCAAGGTGTAGGTGACGCTATCACACTTGCCGTTGATAATCTGCCTATCGCCACTCGCCAGCTGCAGCAGTCCCCTCCACGTGCCGCCATGCTGCATGTTAAAGCAAGCCTGGTTGATGTTGTGTGTAGACATAAACTCTAGGCCGCGAGAAACAGCGTCTTTCATGGTCTTGACTTCGGCGGTTGTGTCGCAGTTTTTGCCGGTGGTGGCGGCGTGGTACTGGTAGTTTACTCTGCAGGAGTGACATGTCAGCGGCTGAGATAGGATGAGGACGGGAGGGGAGATGCGAGAAAGCGGACGTACCCATCAACAGTGCCGGAGATGACGCCACAAGTGTTGGCATCGCTCTGCGCCTTCATGAGATTGGAAACGTAGGTCGCGATTGCGTTCACGTTGAGCGCGACCACGGCGCCTGCACCCAGGATGGCGACCTGCTCTTCGATGCTGAGTCGTTTGGCGAGGTCGTTGCTGGAGTGAACTGTTAGTATGGGATGGAGAATGCTTTGGAAAGGGGTTCTTCGTTGTACCTGGACTGTGCCTCCTCTTCTGAGATTGGCAGTGCGGCCACCTCCCGCTCGGGAAGAGAAATGGCCATGGCGTTGTAGACGAGGCAGAGAGCGGTAGCGGCGATGGTTGAGAAACGCATGGTGGGTAGTGGGAGGATGTGATGGAGCCTGTTGTAAGAGTGGAAAGTAGAGTAGTGATGCTTGAGTGTTGAGGATGGTGTACTAGAACTGGGTGTCTTGTCTGGTATATATATCTTCGCATATGGTGAGTCGTTCCGATCGTTGAGATAGTGACGTTCAAGCACAGATTGTCTCGATGCACGCCTGATGACAACGGGGCTGGAGAGAAACGCTTCGCGACGTGACCCTAGCATACACATAGCAGCATGATGCATGTCTCCGCAAGCGGTGAACCGATGCTATCTTGATTTCATCCCGTGTATACCGCCGCACAGCGCTGTATGTGTAAGGCGCCCTTCTTGGATCAGCGTCTATACAATGTCGATCGTGGTGTTGCACTTCGCCGTCTCTAAGGCGTTCCTTCCTCGGTCCATGCGGCGGGCCGAATCACGATGTTGGCCCCCATCTTGCCATGTTGTTTCAGCGATCTTAGCCTCCGCAAAGCTAAGCTTCTCAAAAATAGCCCTTTCCGGTAGACCATCTACGTCAGTAATGTTCAGGCGTTCCATGTTTAGTCGTTGCGCATAGCCGCACGAGGCTGTGTATCTAAGGCGTTCCGGATCGGTCCGGAAAAGAACCATGAGCTTGCGCCGACCGACCCTCCGGATCTTGAAACCAAGACTGATCAAGATCGGCATAAGCTTTGTAGATGCGCGCTTATTTTGACTGCGACACTTGATTACATTCTTGCATCGTACATCAGGCATCCTGCGATCATCTATCTCGGTCCTTTCACACAGCGCTGCAACATGGATTGACGTCGCCGTCTATTGAACTTCCTCTCTTCTTTTGTGATCAAGGCGGGCAGTATGTTTGGGGGCCTCATGAAGCTCAGGCCGACAAGGCAGAAACGCTTGTTGAGAGCTTGAATGTGTCCGAAGGGAGGAGGTAAAGCGCAGACCTGATGTAGGTTGTGTTTATCTGAAGATGTATATAAGTAATCGACCCGTCGAAATGAAGGTTATCAATTCATCACAACAGTTCCTCTCAAGTTACAATACACAGCCAAGATACCCCATCTGCTATACCTCACTTGTTCACAATGCGCTTTCAACTCGCCCACATTTTCTGCTTGCTCGGAGCTGCCGAGTCTCTCGCTATCGGTGCCCCCGAGAAAGAGTAAGTCACCGTTCCCTCTTGACATATATCGGTAATTGTAATTCACTGACATGAAAGCTCTAGCTACGCCCTGCTCGACACCAGGGACGTCTCCGCCCCTCTCGACCGCCGCACCGACATTGAAGTCGCCGCCGGTTTCGTTAGCAACGGCGGAACCGCCACCCTAGCCATTGTCTCCATCGCCAACTACCTCGCCGTCTACATCAAAGGCCAATCCGACGTCAACAGCTGCTCCGTGATCTCTGGCAACGTCGACGGCGCTGTATGGCAGTACTACGCGACTACCTCGGGCCCGAAGTGCGATACCACTTCGGAGACGAAGACAATTAGGAACGCGGTTGAGCGCGAACTCAAGTGGATGCAGGCAAATGGGTATGATGCTGCTTGCTTTAAGATGGACCATGGGGGTACTTGGGAGGGACATCTCAAGATTGCATTGAATGGGAAGCCGATTGCCAGTGACACGCAGTGCAATGCTGCGAAGTTTGTCAATCTGTAGATGCGTGGCGTAGTGGCTAGGAGGTGGAGGAACGTTTGTGTCTTGCGCGTTCGTACTAGCTAACCATGTTAAGTATTTTATGCGCAATGTACTTCGTCTATCAATGCGCATTCATTATATATCTTCATCGTCATCAAACTCAAAGACCCCCACCAGGCCACCCCCCTCGTCTTCCTGTTCCTCTTCGATCTCCTCCCGCCCTGTCTCATGGTCTTGCACTTTCTCCTGTTCACCTGCTTCTTCCCGTATATCCAGAGGCCCCCTACCCTCGAAGTTCAGCGTGCCATCCATCTCATGGGTAGCCAGCACATATCCGCCTTCTTCATCCACTCCTCCGGTAATCACCACTCCATCCCGCTCCCTTCTCCTCCTGTCCCTCCTTCTCTGCTCAGCGTGTCTCCTCCTTCGGTCTCTGTCTTCCTTCCCTTGGATCCACTTTCTCATTGGTGCGGGAAGCTCATTCGGCATGACTCCTGTCTTCTCCATGCCCCAGGCGGTGAAAGTTAGGGCCGCGCGGTTGGTGGAAGAAAGAGTTGCTGCGCCGATACTCCATGATGCGCGACCTAAGCCTGAGGATGCGATGGCGCTGGCGAAAGAGAGGGTCGCAGTGGAGACCTCTGATAGCGCGGCGCTGGTGTCGTGGATGGCGGCGGGCCAAGTGCCGGGGAAGGGTGTGGCGGTCGGAAGGGATGCCGTCGCAGAGGAAGGAAGGTCTTCCCAGCTTGAGGAAGAAGACGAGAAAGCGGATGCGGGCTGATAGGGGGTTTCCTCTTCGTCGGCACCGATTTGCGACTCAGCGACGGTGCCGGTGCGGATATTGGCCGGGCGAGCTCGTGGCTCTGGCTCGGCTTGCGCTTCTTCAAAGTCGCGCAGTTGTGGAGCGCTTAATCCTGCGGATTGCATGGGCGCATCTTCGAACCCGTCGTGGGCGCTGTAGTATGCTTCTGAATGTGATGATGCTTGGTGTTGTGGGCGGCCTCTCGTCGTGCCCTTGCCCGTTTCGGAAGGGTCGTTGCTGCCTACAGCCTTGCGTGGGCGCCCGATCTTGTCTACCATCGTGACTGTTGCAGAATACGGTTTGTGTTCTAAGCACGTAGTATAGTGTAAGTACAAGGTTGCCGACTACAGTTGCAACGAATGCTGCGACGCGCAAAGAGAATCCGGGGGCGTATGCTGAAGAGATGGGTGATTATACTTCGTATCGTGGGTAGGGTGGGTGGTGGCTGCCGTATGTGGTGAATGCGAGAACTTCCACGCGCAATTCAATCGGAATAGGGAAGTGCGAACGCCTGCGCCAACGTCACTGCTTCACTGCGATCGCGACCTTGTGAGAAGACAGAAGCGGAAAGCTGTCGGACGAACGATCAATATGCGCATTGCTGCGAAGACATCGAATCTTTCGGAATGAACTCTGTACCATGGATGCGCGACCAGGACCTAGTAGATGATTTGATTATACTGACTTGTGGTAGGTCCACATACTGAAGCTGCGCGCGCAGCACGAAGGCCTGCGCTAAGCGAACCATAGGTGCGCTTCTTCAATATCAAGGTATCGCGGCAGGTTTGCTAAGGCGGTTACGGGTTTGAGCACCAAACACGATATCGTCGCAGTGAATGCAACAGCACGTGACTTCATGTGTCATCGACTGGCTGCCCCACCCAGCGCAACGACGAGAATACTTTCGCAATGGATTACTTGGGTACGTAATTCGGACAAGACTCGCGACACATTCATTGCTTTTAGTGTCGCCTGCGCCGAGATCGCGTTTTACATTGTGCTTGCGTGCGACCCATAACCACATAGTGAATACCTGCGTCTAGGCAATCACAACACGACCTCGATATAAGACCGCGGTACCCCGCCCTTGACAAAACAACGCGACAGCTCAGACCATCAGTCTTTATATACCGCCCGCTATCTGCACTCTGCGCATTATCACAGCCGCTCGCATTCCAAAGTCCACTTCCAGCCACTACTCGTCGTCAATACTCAAATACTTCACACTCTTTCAAATCCATTCCAACGATGTCTTCCACTCCTCCCAACAACCAGCAGGCCGCGCCCAAGATGCGCCCCGTCACCGGTAAGCAACTCCGCGCTCGCGTCTCTGTGCGTCTTTCCGTATACTGACTTGTCGCACAGGAGCTTTCTTGCTCAAGCAGAGTCCTCACCATCTCTCGCATGACATCAAGGACATCCTCGAGAAGCATGGCGTCAAGCTCTCCCCCGGCTGTTCCCAAGAGCTCACCCGGTACCTCAACGACAAGCTCGAGGCGTACCCCATTCCTTTCGACCCCAAGCGTCCCAACCTCCAGGCGGATCTCGACAACAGTGCCCGTCTCCGCGACAGGAAGGCTCAGCTCAAGGACCAGGGCGCGACTTCGAAATCACCCGCGAAGACGCTCCATCGATCGAACCCCGACATCTTCTCGCGGTTCGGCAAGCCCCGCAACATCAACGAGTCTTTCATGGACATTCCGTGGAACGATCCAGTCTCGCCATCTATGTTGCAACCGCCGATGCCTGTCAGCGTGAACTCGCTGCTTCAGGGCTGGCCTCTGAAAGAGAAGTCAGTCGTAGCTGCGAAGACGCCGACCAAGGTCAAGAAAGAGCAGTCTGTACAGACCGAGATCCAGAACCCCGTCAAGTTCGCGAAAGAGCCTGCCGTCAAGGTTGAGATCGATCGTTCCGTTGACACTAAGATCGGATCGGCCAACACCATGAAGCCGTCCCCATTGAATCGCGGGCGCACCGACGACTATCTTGATGTCGCGACAGAAGAGATCATCGAGCGCGCACCCCTCGCTATCACAAGGGGCAACCTCATCAAGGTAGAAGATAGCGTTGGCAGCGACGTCCAGCGCCATCATCAGATTCATCGCACCGTCGACTGCAAGTCTCCGCCTGCGCCCCCCGTCAAGTCCGAAAAGGACACGGCCAGGAGCACCAAGCGCACCCACAACGATTTCGAACAAATGGATCCCGATGCCGTCTCCTTCACATCTGATATCCTCGACGCTGTCAAGAAGACCCGCCCTGCTGTTAAGCAAGCAACATCCCCTTCGCCCGCTATCAAGGTCGAGGACGAAACCTCCGGCTTCCAGAGCTCCATCGGCTCGTCCAAGTCGTCGGGCTTCCGATCTTCGGTCTCAGATGTCAAACAGGAGTTCCAGGAAACGCCTGACACAACATACTTCGGTGAGTTGCAGCAGACGCTGGGTCGGTCCCAGAGCCCTTTCAGCCAGACGCAAGGTCTCCCGAACTCCTTCCCCCGCAGTCGCTTCGGCAGTCAATCGTTCCTGAGCTCTCCCGGTTCAGTAACCTCACAGACGTCTGGACGCGTCGAGATCAACCCGCGTCGCTCTGCTCGACTATCCCAGGCTAAGACTACCGCTGCCGGCTCGTCAGACCTGTCAGCTTCCGCCCCCTCAGCTCCTCCAGCTCCGTCCCCTACGTCATCTTCCGCCTCCTCTCTTGGTGTTAAGCGTCGTCGCTCCAACAGCCTTGCAGACGAGATAGAGCAAGTTGAGCGCCAGGGTCGCAACAAGAAGTTTGTGACGAAGGAAGTGGTCGCGAAACAGCGCGAGGCTCGCCACGAAGAGGATGCAAAGGACAAGAAGCGAAGTACCGTCGAGCGTCGTCGCTCAGTGCTTCAACGTCGCGGCCTCTAGAGTACGCATTCATCCGGGCTAATCCACTGAGCCCGCCGAGCCTAACTCTTCTTCTAAGATACCAGACCATTGGAAGTCCACATACTCATCGCCAATTCAACAACCTACATGCATCGAAGTCGATAAGGCTTCCATCGCTCGCGACACCTTCGCTATATCAGGACGACCTCTCTCCCGAACGAAAGCCAAAAGAGCTTCCCTTGTCTACCTCCGCGCACGAAGCGCGCGTCCATCCAAGCTATCCCGACAACGGTTCCGGCCGATCCGTGTCAGAGAACATCGACGGCCGCCGGTCGAGCCGGTGCAAAGTCCAGAGAGACTTCACCACACAGTCGACCAGGTGCAAGCTCAAAGAGCTCACCTCTACTACCCCCTTCGCCGCGCCCAGAGAGACGCGTCCATCGGGGTCATACCTACTACATTGACTCAGCTGAATCCGTCCATAGAGACTTGACAGCTGACGACCGAGATGAGTGCAAGACCCATGGAGGCTTGACTCGCCGGTCGGGATGAGCGCAAGTACAAAAGTCTTGACGACTCATCGGCCATCCACCACCAAGATAGTTGGTGGATACTAGCTGGAAATGTTTGGGACACAGAAGTGTTTCCATCACCCAGCTGCAATGAGATCAAGGCCACAAAAATGGCTTGGCTCATCTGCTTCCCCCAACCGACCTTCAACGTCGAGCGATCTTGAGTTGACTGGAAGTTCACAGGGCTCTTATCGCTGTCGCACTGAGCGCAAGTCAAGAAGGCTTGCCCTACAGTGCGTCCATCTCTTTTATGTATTCGGCTTCATGTTTAGTTATTCTGTTGTTCGCGATTGCTGGCCAGCTGTCTACCCTTGTCTCCTTCTTTTCTTTAACATTCCTTGTGTTACTGTATTTGGTACAAAAACGTCCTGTTAGTATTGTTACATGTATACAAAAAGTGATAGCACAATGAAAATTGAAAGTTCATAAAGACAGTCAACGTGCGTCAGTGCGAATGTAATGCGGTGACTTCGGCTCTCCGCCCGCGTATCCCCACCTCCGCATGCAGGTCAGATTAAAGTTTAGCGCACCAATACGCGGTGAGTATCGCAACTGACTGCATGCACAACGGCTTTCCTCATTTATGGTGTTACGCCCTAGTTGAAGTCGCACAGCATTGTTCCGTCTTACATTGCTTAAAGCGCATACCCCGCCGCTTTTACCTCAGCACAATGCAACTTCACTCCCGCCTCCTCACGGCCTTCGTCGCCCTCTTCAGCGTTGCTTCTTCCTTCACAATGTCCACTTCAACGCCCAACTCCACCGATGCATCCCCTGTAACGCGTATAGCAACGTTCCGCTTCCTGCCGAACGTGACCGCGGAGCAAAAAGGCGATCGCGCATCTGCCTTTCTCGCGCTCTATGCCGAACACCCAGAACTACTGGTCGAAGGACCCAAAGGAGGGCGACCGCTGAACACGCCATTGAATCTGACGAATGTGAAGAGGGAGAGTGTGTGGGACTTGGGTTTCGTCGTAGTCTTCAAGGTATGGAATGGATGGTGACGCGACCGCATCACGAGTGCTGATAATGAGTAGGATGAAGCCTCGAGGCAGGTGTTCGATAAAGATCCGACGCACGATAAGCTGAAGGTATGTAGCATCTCCGTCGTTGCAGAGGAGTTAGCTGGAGCTGACATCGCGGAAGAATGAGACGGACCCGCTGCTCGAGCAGGTCTTTGTGTATGACTTTGTTGCGCAGCCGAATCTGGGCTGGTGATGGCAGTAGGGGAAGAAGAATCCCGGTCACGTGGCGGGATCGCAATTTGCAGCACACATACTATAGGGTCTTAACAGAGAGTCAGCTCTCACTTCGCGCATACTCCTGGCGGTGCTCTCGTTTGCTGTGACGTGACTCCGTCGGCGCTAGCGCTCCGCGCCTGCCTATCTAGATGTCAACAAACCAAGACTTCTCTCGCTCTCTCTCACCACGCGGAATCTCACCCATAATGGCAAAACCATATCTAGAGCATCTGCTCGCCTTCTCCGACAACATCTTCGCGGATGGGCGCTCGCAGCTGATTCAACGCCTTAGCGATGAGGAGCTCCTTACCTTGATTCGGGATGGACTCGGTCGTACTAGCCGCAAAGCACGCGAGATGTTGAGTGTCAACCTGCTTGATCTCATCAATACAGAACCGAGAACCTCCGAGTTGCTCGTCGGGAACAGTAAGAACTCAAAGGCTGGGTGAGGACCAGTCACTAACCAGCGGTATTACAGACTTCAGACAGCCTACACAGTCCGCACCCGCACCCACACCCACACCCAACGCACACGGCCTCGCAACGTCTGGCATGGCATCGCAGAGGGGTCAGCCCAAAAGGAAGGCCACGGAAAACGCAGATCCCTTCGGCATCCGATCCCATCCAGCGGCCGCGCTCAACGCGACCAATGAAGGTATCAGCAACTCCTTCAGCGGAGACCAAGAGGACGATGAAGACTGGGAGGGTATGACCGCGGAACATGACCACGATCTACAAGATGAGACCCCTGCAGACTCCCGCACTTCCATTAATGTCGTCAACATATGGTCCACAGCCTTTGTTATACCCAAGCTCAAGATAGGTGCATGGGTACGAAACACTGTCGGGTGTGAAGGATGGCAGCCGCTCGGCGATCTCGTGTCGAGTACCGGTAACAGTATCCATGCAAGATTCTTGGCAGACTTCGCTTTCCGAGTGGCATATGGAGCGGTGGCTATGGAAGCAGCACGTTATATCGGCGGAGGTAAATGCGTCAACATCGCCGTCTGGCAAAAGGGGTGTGGTCAATCTACTTTTGAGAAGGCTCATGGAAACAAGCAAAGAGCTTGCGACACTTGCATCCGCACAAAGCGCCTTTGCGTACGGGTCGTACCTGATGGCTCCGGTGCAAAGCTCTGCGTCTTTCCGCTACCCGAAGAATGTCGTGGGAGCAAGGCGCTGGATTCCATCGCCGGATGGGTCATTGGAGGATAATGGCGGAGGAGGCAGGCGGCGAGACAGAAATTGAGTAGGCATGATGGAGTCTACATCAGTCTCAGAACGAAAGTTTTGAAGATCCTAACGCGATATAGACTTTTAGTCATTTGTTTCGATCGCGTGGTCAGGTAGGGTGTTCGGGGCTTTTCTCCTCCTGAAGAGGAGTGAGACCGCGGAGAGGTGGATTACACGTGTAATTGACGATAATGATACCGTCGGCTGCCTGGTGCGGTGAGTATTGACAGCTATTGAGCCTACTGAGTATTATCCAAGCTCTCTAGTGATGCGCAAGCTTGCCCTTGACAGCGTTGTGAAGAGGCTGTGAGATACAATAATGTGTGTGAAGGATGCCAGGCGTGGAGCGCATTCGCAAACCTTTGGTGTTCGTTGGCCCAAGCTTCAGACGATGCGCTAGTCGCTAGCTTGGCCGGGGATTGCCGCCCGGTGCCATCAACAAACATCCGGTGCCGGCTATCCACCTCGCACCACAGCAACTCTCACGTGTGCGCGTCTACACGATGACGAGCTCGTATCTGGAGGCGCTGCTTGCGCTGACCGGTAAGGAAGCGTTCGCCGATGCGCGCATGAGGCTCATTGATGGCCTGAACTGGGAAGAGCTGGAAATCGTTGCCGTCGAAGGGATAACCGGATGTACCAACCGAAAGGTACGAGAGCGATTGGTCTGCGCGATGCTCAACATTCTCAAAGAGAATCCGAATATCGAGCCAATGACAGTTCCAAAGACTGGTAAACATGCAATTATGGACATATGAGGCGCCGGCTGATTTGTATCACCACAGAATCTCTGAAGTTTGTCCCCATCGCACCTCGGATAGACGCGACACAAGTAAAAGCAGCAACCCCTTCGGTGGCCAAGCGAAAGCGCGCTATTCAGGATACAAATAGCGAGCGACAGGAACCTGCTAGTAAGGCATTCAAAAATGAACCGATTGGTGGCTCATCGTTGGACACCATCGACTTACGTGATGACGAGAACGATGACAAGAACGAGGACGATTACGAGAGTGACATGTGGGAAGCGGATAACGTCATACATCCATACGACTATCGCCCCGCGATAACTCCGACAGTCATCGATCTAGAAGATTCCGTCAAAGATGAAGAAGAAAGCAATACAGTAGCGCCACAAGTGGTGCTGTACGCGGACCAAAATCCTGCGACGGACGTGAACTTCGTTACATTTCCCGCAGCCTCCGCAACCGATCCAGATCCCAGACTCAGGATAGGCGTATGGGCTCCCAACAGCTTCGGAGGTGGCGCCTGGCTACCTCTTCATGACCTATCACCCGGGGACGGTAGAGTTATCCACGCAATATTCAATCGAGTCTACATGTCGCATCCTAAAATATCGACAATGTATCGGTCAATAGTGAGGGATGCAGAACGCTTCATGCAGAGGGGAATGTGCGTCTGCCACTGGCTGTACAGCGGCACAGGCGCATCAAAGTACACTTCAGCCGAAGGAGACAAGGACAGGGCTTGTGACCATTGCAATGGCCGGATGCGCCTATGTGTCAGAGTCATTCTGGACACCATGGGGCCCAAGCTGTGCATATTTCCATTGCACGATAAGTTTCGCGCAGGCCAGACTTCAATCTCGCTCGGCGCATATGTCAGACTTAACGGAGTCCTCTTCAAATTTGGGGAGAAGAATGCACGTAGAGCATGGGGTATCTCGAGCTTCTCTATCTCCCAATGAGTAGCCACATGCGGCACATCAAGCGTCTCACGATTCATATCGAGGAGCGAGAGAGAAGAGCAGCGCGGTAGACATGAGCCACATCGGGAAGATCTACAGGCAGCTACGAAATGTTCATCCAGCGTTCATGCCGAAGCAACCACCCACCATGAGCTTCCGAACACACCATCCAATTTTCATCGACGAACCAACCTTCACCTCCTCTATTGTCTCGACAATGCCCCCACGAAGTCTCACAATCCAAGTTGTGGAAGACTAAGGCTCGCCAATAAGATTGAGAGTATCGTTCAGACTTTTGCCAGAGAAGATACCAAAGTCTTGCTCGCACACCGTCCCTTGTTCCGGCATAGTCCCATGCACGAAATACGCAGCCGTTGCGGTAATGGCACAGGTCCCGGGGCTGTACATAACCGTGTGCTACCAATGTCGTTAGCGATGTTCTCTCCCGAATACATTACACCCGTCCATGAAGCCAGGAAATGCTCTTCAACTTACCCCGAGACCATCGTGCTGAAGCACAACACTTCCTTCGAGCGTCTTGTTCGCCGCATAAGCCCCCGAAATCGGAGTGCGGACGTCATATGGCGAACCGATGAGCAACACAGGGCTCTTCGTCTTCGCCTTGAAGTCACCCTCGTACCGTTCTTTTGCCTGGACCTTCCAAAGAGAGCACAAGATATACGAGCCGATGATGTAATCGCTGTTCCAATCACCCAACTCCGTTATGTGCTGGACGCGTTCCTTGATGTCGGTCAGCTCGTCGGTGCGGAACATGGCGTCGGAGCAACGGATGAGCTGCGTGTTGTCTGCATTGATCGCTGCATCTTGGACGATGAAGGAGCGATCGACTAGATACTGGGTGTGGTTATATTCTGGAGTATTGCGGATCATGATGCTGTTGAGATAGCCTGCCAAATAAGACCCGGATGCAAGACCCATGCGCAGAGCCGTGTCACTAGCCTCGGCGATCTTCTCGTAGGTGACGACACCGGTTGTGACGTTTGGGCCCATAACGATTGGCTCGCGCTTGGCTGTTTCGGCGAGGCTTTGGATTTGTTCGTACAGCGCGGAAGAGGAGAGGTTTGGGCGAAAGAGGGCGCATGAGGGTCCAGCGTCGATGCACTGTTTGGTAAACTGTCCCAAGGCAACTGGCGCGGACCTAGCTGGACCAGTCTCCCTGATGCTCAGTCAGCTTGTGCCGCATTCATCTGGAGGAAGCTACGTACCATCCTTGCTGATACTCGAGCGGGTTAAGAACACCATCAAGCATCATTCGCTCGACCCTGTCTGGGAACATGGCAGCTATTACTTGGCCAAGATACGTGCCATAAGATATGCCTGGGGACAATTAGTCAATAACCACATGTATCGAGACTCATCTTCAACTCACCCCAATACCGGAGAAGACCATCCTCGCCTTCCAAAGTCAGAGCATCGACAACCTTCATGAAGTCTCTGGCAACGAACGCCGTGCTCATCAATGACCCATTCACTGCCTCGTTTTGGAAGCAGCGCTCTGCGTATTGCTTGGTGTAAGACCAAACAGCACCCAACGCTACATCGGATGAGTTGGTCCTCGTTGGTGTCCGCAACGTCGCGACCATCCGTTCCATTTCGTTGTTGTAGCAATCCACGGGCAATGTCGTGCCAGTGCCTCTGGGGTCGGGACCGATGATATCGTATTGCCCGCCCGTCATGCTGTACGAGAAGGATCGTTAGCATGTGATCGCAGCGCTCAAATGACAAGAAGCAACTTACGCGAGAACGTAACGAGCTTGTTGCAGAAGCCAATCTGTTGCGGGCAAACCGGGGCCTCCCCAGTTTGTCAACACACTCCCTAGCTTGGGCTCTCTGAACGCTTTGACTTTCAGGATGTTGAGGGTGAGGGTGTTGTTGTTCGAATGGGGCAGCGTATAGTCAAGGGGTACAGCTAGCTTTCCCAGGTAGGTGTCGGGTCTGCCCAGAACCGTGGATGCATCTGTCCAGTTGATAGCGACCTTCGCGGCATTTTCAGAGTATTCAGCATATTCCAAAGATGATTGTGACGCCGTCGCAGCGATGTTGAGGCATGCGATTAACGCGAGGCAAAGGGTCGTCCTTGGAAACATCTCGGTACAGTGGTTGTGACGGCCTGTCGATGGTATCGAGATGCTTCCCTAGAGTCTGGTACACTATATATACTTTTACTATATCTTGCTTTCCCACCTGGTCAGCCTTGCAGATGCAACAGGAGAGGACGAGGCGTCCTTCGCGCAGTGCTAGTTGTGGGGGCCGCATCAGAATCCAGCGCTCGTCATTGCCGGACGTGATCAACGGAGCCACAATGACATCGAATTCCTGAGCACGATCGTTAGTAAGAACTGCTAGGCGAAAATAGCCAGCCAGAACCGAAGTAGAGCGCAGTCGTGGCTAATTTGATTCGCGCATACATTATGAGGCATATGCTGCGCACTTATACCGAAACGGACCGCGATATGGCCAAGCTTTCTTCCTAGTCAATGCTCGCTGTTGAAAGTCTCGCTGTTTTGGGGTAGCCTCAAACACCGCCTGTTATCAGCGCTAACCCTGTTAGGAAGTCAGAAGGGCCAAGACGAACAGCAACGAATGAGGAGGAGCAATGGCAGCGATGGCATTGTGGGATTGTTATTGGCCAGCACCAGGTCGCGTTTCCTTCCTTTGAATGCAGTCAGCTCAGCTCGCTACTTTACTGCCGAACCGAGACAAGTGCGCATGCACTTCGGCATCTCGGTGACCCATCGAATGTGGCAATTCCGGTTCTGGGAAGCACTGAAGTATGCAATAGTCGATGATTCATTCAAACTAGATTCAGGGCTGGCCTAAGCAGTTAACGACACCATGCTTCAGTCGGCCGATGCATAAACTTCAGGGCCGCATCGATTCGCCATGTGGATCAGCAGACACCCGCTGGTACAAGAGTTTTAAACCTGCAAATCGATCTCATTAGCCATCTCTCTGGAAACGTCCGGCATGAAATACTTACGGCTCATCAAAGCACTCATTCCAACCAGGCTTCTTCCGCCGCCAGTATCTTCGAAGCACTTCTCGCGCCTTCAAGGGACTGTTACTGCCAAGAAGGCGGGCATGCTCTTCCAAGTGCCGTTCAATCCACATCTGAGTGCTTTGCTGAACGTGATAGCCCGCTTCCACGCCAAGTACACACAGTGGAAATGTTGATATCTTCTTGAGCTGTTTTAGTGGTGTGGCAGCTTTCAGATCTTGGAGTAGACGATCGCGATGTTGCATTCGCATGCGATCCATCTCTGTGTTGCTGGGAATAATGTCGGCAGCTTTCAAGGACATCATGCAGTAGAGTGCTATTGCAGACTGCCAGATCGATGCGATGAGCTGCCAGTCATCTTTTTGATCTCTCGACTGCGCCCATTCTCTTGGGGAGAAGGATTCGATGCGGGAAAGAATGCTTCGTGCATCTTGAGCGTACTGATGCGATTCCACGATGGGCGTGAGGCTGAGCTCTTGACGGAGGCGGTTGATGCGAATAATCTCGATGAAGAGGCTTGACGGACACAGTGTGTAAGGGAGAATAAGGCTATACACCTTCTCCACTTCCCCGATGTGCTGTTCGAGTGGCTCGGTGATACTAATCTGATGCGAAGCTGGACCAAGACTGTTCGAAAACGTTACGATGCTGCATGATGTCAGCCACAGCCATCGCAATGATTGAGGCATACCAACAGCACGAATATCACTAGCGCTGATGTCATGTGAGGTACTGTGCGTCGTAGTAACCCAAAACCGCCACGCATATCGATCAGTCGCTTCATACCATCTGCATGCGACCTCCAGTCGACATCTGTAGAGCTATGTACCTACGAACACAATCAGCCTTCTGGACCCGTACGTGTCAGATTTGTCAGAGTATACCTCCATTGCCAGAAACATAAGAATGCTGGCGATTGTCTGATCACTACTGCGCGTTCCCTTCCTTGCAACATTCTCATTGAGAGCGCGGATAGCAAGGCCTCGATAATGGTATATCTTGAGGCGGTTGTCTGCAACGATCGCACAATCCTTGCCAAGAGGCAACGAAGTCAAGTGGTAGTTGAGGCACAGGCAGACAGTAGTGTAGTGCATTGCCGGAGCCAGTATATGCAACGCCCACACTGGAAAATGTACCACTGCTTGGTTGGGTGCTAAGCAATCGGTCTCTTCGATATCTGGATATATCTTAGAGTTGACTAGCGGGCTTAGCAAATGCATGCAATTCGGCTTTCCGCACATACAGTAATTGACAGCTTGTACCACATCGTGTGTCTCATCCGATAAGAAATCGTATGATGGAAGTCTGTTCATCTCCATAATCTGCAGCAGTCTCTGTATTTTTGCAAGAGGCCTCTGGTTCGACTGCAGAAGTAGTGCGGCTTCCCAGTGCTGGCCTCTTTCCACTACTTCCTTGATCTGGTCTTTGTTGCCAATGCACATGATGCGTTCGCCCACCCCACAGCCCGCCCCGGCCCCTGCAGCTGTCAGCTCAATGGGGTCGACCTGCTGCTCGATATCAGGGTCGCGCCACCATGCTGGCTTGTCCTCTTGCACCTCTTGCACCAATAGGTTGGCGAATTGGCTCTTGGATAGTTCGATCTCTTCCGGGGTAAGCTGAAGCTCTTCGGAGACCAGCCACGAGCACCCTCCTTGTCCGAGGAGCTCTGGTAGACTTGCGTCTCTAGATACCTCAGGGCCAGCAGCGGGTCCATTTGGAATGACGCGTGCGAGTCTCTCGGAGTTTGCTACTCTGCTGGCGGACGTTGGTGGCCGGCATTCCTCCTTCTTCTTCTTCGGGCGGATCGTCACGTGCCCCGGTTGCACCCATTGCAACGGCTTCTGGTCGTTATATCCCGTGCATTCTTTACCCGTCTTGGTGCATTTCTTGCATTGCGGCAGGGTGCGATCGCACACCAGGCGGCGTTTGAAGCACTCCCAACATTGACGGGCCGCTACGCTGTCACCGGTCCTAGCGTCCTGCATGACGTCAACCACTCGCAGCTACTCCAGCGACTTTGAATCTTGCTCAATAGAATCTCGAATCGAGTCAACCGTGATCTGGTAGAGGTCTCAATGATCGATGCAAGCTCTCCAACATCTTGTCAGTCGTATGTAAGCGCTCGATGCGCGCGGGGCATGGGCAATGTCAGCAGCCAAATGATTGGCCAAGTTCCTGCCCAAATACGGACAAATGAGGAGCAACAGCCACCACAGCCCACTGTACTGTAGTTTACCGTTCTGGTCACGCTCGCGACAACCGTCGCTTTGCTTTCGAGACCGGATTCCAAAGCACTCTCCTCGGCAGTGGGACAACACCTTGTTGCACGTAATACAATGCCTCCGGTGATCTGTCACGTGCTCACGCGTCCGCTTGGACCCGGTGCAGTTGCATGGCGGTCACACAACAGCATGGAGGCAAACATTTCGCAAGACGAGGATGAACAATAACAAGTTCTCACGTCCACGATAGTCGCAGCTTGCGTGGTTTCTAGAGCTGGTGACACCAACTCTCTCCCATTAACACATTCGCCGGGTCATCACTTGTCCCTTGTCCACCCACGAGACATCGCAGGAAACACGTTAGCGTTGCGCTGCGTAGCAAACAACAACACCACGGGGCTCTTTCTTACATCACCACCTAGCATGGCATACTACGATGGCGACCTCAAAGCCGTACTCGCGCGGTTTCACGGCCTACCAGACACCGACACGCGCAAGGACATACTCAAGAAACTTAGCGATGACCAGCTGTCGCGTGTAGTCATCCAAGGTGTGAAATGCGAGTTCGAAAGAGAAGGATTGGAGGAAATCGCGCTAGTTATGCTAGGTGTCATCTCCAGGGATTCGCGCTCCAAGCTCGCGCATGATGTACATGGAGAGAACGAAGTCGCGGTGAAGGATGGGGAAGCCAGTGGGGAGTGTGAGGTCGTCATCAAGATGGAAACGCTAGACGACGTCAACGGATTCACCATGAAGGAACCTGAGCGTAAGACCATGCAGTTGTCTCTAGGCTACCGTAACCTATACTGAGATAGATCTCACAGTAGATGACAGCGAGCTTGCTCCAACGCCAGACCCTTCAACGATAGCATCAGTGTCCACCAGTACAAGTCCTGAACTGGGCCGAGAAGCATCTAGAGTGCCCAGGACCAAACATAAAGCTGGCCGTCGCGTTGAGGCCCACTACAGCAAGTGGAAGCGTGATAGAGATGCTGTGCAGGTTGAACATCACTTCCCAAAACGGCCTCGCTGGCGTGTATGAAGCTGCTATTTGGCCGTCGTGATGAGGTTCTGCCTAACAGACCACAAGATGGAAGAAAAGCTCGAGTGTCCCGACGACCCCATGGGGCTTGATTCGCGGGCTAAGGTAGCTAGAAGAGGAAGGACGCATATAGCGCTAATGATGAGCTCATTTATGAGCATGGCTCTTACACTGTTTTTTTGATTCTTCCTACCTGATTCAATGGTGTTGATCTCTCTTCGACGCATGTACGTCACCTCGTCCGTTTGCACCTTCCCAATCCACGCGTTTTCACAGCTAGCGCCGTTGCGCCGCGCCGCGCAGTCAACCGCAACAACGCTCTTTTCCTCACCCCCCACCCTACATCGCACTCCCTTCAGCGTTGCTCGCCATGGCGACCATCGACGCCTACCTCAAGGCTTTGCTCACTCTTTCCGGAAACGAGCAGCTCGCCACCGCCCGCCAAAACCTCCTCCAAGGCCTCACCGACGACGATCTCTCGGAACTGTTGCAGAAAGTCGTGGGAAGAGATTTCGCGCGCGGCGGCTTGGAGAATATCATCTCGTTTATCTTGGACGTCATCGCTGGGGACCCGGCCTCAGTCAACGGTGACAGTAGCAGTGTCGCTCACGCGACAGCTAGCGTGAAGATCGAGCAAGTTCAAGAAAACGGCATCCAGCAGCATTGTGAGTAGCCTACAACAGATTCTGTTAGGTTCAACTAACCATGAACAAGCTCTGAGCGAGGTCATGGTGATCAACGATCACCCAGCATCAGACAGACCAGCAACACCAGCCACGTCGGTAACAAGCAAGCGAAGACTCTCACCGTCTCCTGGCAGTGCGATCCGCAAACGTTCCAGACCCGATACACCTTCTGTAGTCGCCACGCAGGCTGCTGCCTCCACCTCAAAGGTGAGCCTTCGAGACTGTGAGATAGAGCAGATGATCGACAACAAGATCGTTCCGCGCATGGAAATCCTCCACTGGGGTGTCTTCACCGATGATTGGCTACGGAGCGCGAGCGCCTTGGTTACCCTACTCGCCCCAAAGTTTGATGAAGATTACCTCTCTACCAATCTCCATAGATCAGAGTGGGGTAAGCTACTGAGACTACGCGAAAAGGGAGTGGCTACCCAATGCTGTGTCAATGATACCGTCATCATGAGAGCGAAGCAGCGTGGTGAACGAACAGGACAGATGAACGAGGCCTGCGATCGCTGTATTAGGGCGAAGCGCTTGTGCGCTCGGCTTGTGCGAGATAGAGAAGTGATCAGTCTTGCCTTTGTCCCCTTACCTCAGGAATATCGCCGTGGGGCAATGATAGACTCGCTGGACTATTGGGTGCGTTCTTGAGTAACCTTGACGCGTGAGTTTGTCACACGGGCACGGAGGAATTGATCAACGGGAAGTCATACACGAAGAAGATCATGGTTTCCAAATGTCGACTAGACGAATACAAAGACTTCTTCATTGTAGTTCGAAGAAGGAAAAGTCGACGTAGTCTTCTGAGATACATTTGGGTCGATGGCTGTGGAAAGACAATCTTTGATCAACACGTTCCTTCGTACATCGAGCAGTTGAGGAGAATGAGTGAACAATGCAGAAGCCTCTCATATCTTTCCGTCACCGTAAATAATGTGATTATACTGAAAACATCATATCAGAATCGATGCGCAAGTAAAGGTACGCACGTCACCGTGTCACTCACCGACTAGACTAGCGCCACATTCAGACCCACGTTCACCGTGTATCCTCTCACCAGCTTCTTCCCCATTTCCCACACTCTTTACCTCCACAGACACCCGTCAATCCCATTCAATCCACCAAATCGCCATGTCAACGGTCCAAAACTACCACGACGCGCTCTTGGCCCTATCCGGCAACCCTGCCCTCGCAGCTGCAAGAAGTGGTCTTCTCGTTGGCATGAGCGGCGAAGAACTCATCGACGTCATCACCTGTGGAATCAAGACTGGTGTTTCTAGGGAAGGTCTCACTACCATCGCGACACAGTTGTTTGAGGAAATTGCAGCGGCTCAAGCAGGCGGCGTGGTAGCGCCTGTGGAAGACAATAATGGCGGCGACGTCGCTGATGACAGCGACGATGTTGTCCGCAACAAAGGCCGGACTCCTCGCAGGCGTGAGAAACACGGAAGCAAAGGTGAGTGCAAGTCAATCAGTCGCGATATAACGGCTAACGGCTAGGCAGAGTCGCGATCCGCGCAACTTTCACAGTCACAGCCAGCGCAGACCCCAACAGCGAGAGCAACTCCATCATTGATCGTGAAACTGAAGAGAAGAGGAGGCACTCTTGCGCGAGCAGGGAAGAGGACAAGAGCCGTAAGTCCGGAGTCAGAGGGAGAGGAAGAAGACCAGATCAACAACCAGATATCAGGTGAGGAGGAGGAGGCGGAAATCATCGACGGTGATAAAACAGAAGGAGATGCCAATGCCGCCGGGGACACCAACAGCGATACCGATGCCACTCCCGATGAAATCAGAGTGACACCCTGGAAAGAAATCCAAGAGTCTTCGGTCATGCTCGATCTAAGCCTCACCGACAGCGAAGATGGGTGCAGCAGCGACGAAGACTATACCGAAGATCTTGCCGATACAAAGCTACGGTGCGGAATACCCAGACCCAGACCTACAACCGGTATTCGGTTCCTGCCCGACATCGACGTAGTTTTCCGGGTACCCATCGGGGAAGGCTTCGAGTTCAAAGAACTGGACGAGTTCCCGATCACATTTGTCAAGGAGATGACCCGCAAGTTCAACCACGACTTCCTGAGAAAGTCGAAGCACAGGACACAATTTCGGAAAATGATGAATGAAGTGGACGATGCGGACACATGTGTATATCGTCTACTCGACGCACCTCACCCGCCCGAACCAGAGGAACCTAAACCAGCGCTGGTTCCGTATTCCGAGGCTTGCCCCTGTTGCTACGAGGAGAAGAGGCTGTGCGCTAGATCCATAAGATCCGACGAGCTTGAGCCCAGGCTGGTGGTTTATCCGTTGGGGACGGCATGGATAAATGGCGGGGACTGGCGGTCTATGGGATTCTGGATACGCTATTGACTGGGTTTGGCTCGATGGACATTTGTCGAGCTGCGAGGCGCAAGAGAGATCATGATGAAAAGAGACGTCAGAATGCCATAGAGGACACTGAATGATCATAGAAGCCTTGCCCTTTCATCTAGGCATACCAGCTAGTATCCTCATACCCTCATCATTCATCACACATGCTCATCGCACACCCTCACCATCACACACCCATCCTCCCCAACCCTAAACCTTCCGCCTAACCAACCCCCTAAAAAAATCAAAGCTATTCCCATCACTCTGCACCTGCACCACCTTACCCGTGCCCCTCCCATCTACCTCCCTCACCTCCTCCGCCAGCAGCAATCCCCAATCCCTTGTAATCCCCTTTATCCTCGCCTTCACTGGACCACCTCCGTAACCCCCACCCACACCACCACCACCCTCCACACTCTCCAAGGTCACCAACTGATCCGTGTGAAGCCAGTTGGCGTAGTAGAATTCTTCCATCTCTCTCGTAAAACCACTCTGCGTAAACGTGCTATACAGCGTCTCGAAATGCGCCAGTATACTCGCCAGCAACTTCTCCGGCGTAAAGTCCTTCAACGGCGGCGTACACCCCTTGGCCAATTGATTCAAACTCGTAGTCGGTAAGGCGTTACTGAGGTTCAAACCAATACCCGTAACGACATCGTACGTAGAACCAGAGTAACTGCTATTAACCAGTATGCCTCCGATTTTGACAACGGGGTTGTTGGCCGAGCCGGGGAGTTGCGCGTAAATGTCATTTGGCCATTTTAGTTTTACGGGTATTTTTTCGTAGCCGGGCGCGTAGTTTTGGATGCCTTGGACGATGGCGAGGGCGGCGAGGTACTGCACAAACACCACGGGCGCACTCTGACTCAGCGTGAAGGAATGGTGCAGCACGGTACTAAACATGAGCGCCCCCGGCGGCGCGATCCAAACGTTGTTGCCTCTTCCGCGTCCCGCGATCTGCGTGGTCGCTGTTATGGTGAAGCCGTTTGGGAGGCTGCGTAATAAGGACGGGTTCTTCTCGAGGAGCGTGTTGGTGGATGTTACGACGTCGGCGTAGATGAGGTGTTTGCCGAAGGAGGCGTTTGGGTTGCGGAGTTTGGTGTGGTAGTGGTGGAGGTTTAAGTAGAAGGATTCGTGGTGGAAGGGGGTTTCTTCGGGTGAGGGGAGGGCTTTCGAGTGGGGTGTTATGACTTTGACGATTTTCTCGTAGGAGACGATTTGGTCCGGGGAGCTGGTGGATGTGTAGGCGATGCAGTCTTGTATCTCTTCCTCGGGGGTTTTGGGCTTCTTCTTCTTGGGATCTTCCTCTTTAGACTGTTCTTCAACGTCTTCCTTACCACTGCTGGTCACAGAAGCAAGGGTAGGCAGCTTCTCCGACACAGCGCTCACAGCCCTCTTCAACTCCTTGACGCTCCACGCGCTCCCCTCTTTCTCGATACGGAAAACATCGTTCTCGCCCTTGATGTACTCATCGCCATCGACTACAGTGATGATTTCACTCCACGTAGCGACGAGGTCAGCGACGTCTGATAGGTTATGAGCGGTGAGATGCAGACGGGAAAGGGACGGTACCGCTTGTTCCTGCTCATTGACCTGCAGTCCAAGTTTGCGGAGGATCAAGCGCATAAAGTCAAGTCGAGTAGCATCTGTAGCTGCGATGTCGCTGATGACGGTAGCATACGAAGGTAAGCTGGGGATCTTGCTCAAGTTTTGGGGCGCGAATCTACGGTATGTTAGTAAGAACGTGTTACATGGATCGACGCAGACGTACTCAGGATGCGGCCCAGTAACAACCGCATGCCCCTCACCAACCTTCCGATACACAACGGCCGCCTTCCCCTCTCCACTTCCCACATGCAAATCCTCCGTATAACTCGCCAAGATCTTCACCCCCCTACTCTCCTCCATCTTCCCCGCATCAACAAAAACACCCCCACCATTATAATAGCTCTTAAACACATCCCCTACCCCCTCATCCACCCCTTCAAACGCACCCTTCTCAATCTTAATCTCCGCCGCCCTCGCCCCAGCTTCACTCGCATACTTGAACCCCTCAAACGCCAGTCCCCTACACGTCCCAGGGAAGAAACCTAATTCTCGCTCTCCTTCAACAGCCATTTTGGGGTCGTTGACTTCGAATTCACATTTACTACTACCGTAGTATCCTCCGGCGCAGAAACCGAGATAAGAACCACCGGCGTTTACATACCGACTAATCCGGCGGTTCCCTTCGCCGTTGAGCGTGCGGCAGTAGCCTAGATCGGCGCCGCCGGGGAAGACGAGGAGGGCGCATGTGCTGAACCAGGGTTCTTTGATGAGGGTGTCGCCTGTGACGGGGATCACTGCGTAAGATGGGGATAGGAGGCGCCGTAGAGTGTAGAGACAGTGGCGGACGGACTCTGTGGTGCTGCCGTTGCCTGGGCTGGCTTAGTAATCTTGGTGGGGGTGTGAGGAAGTTTAAAAAGGCGTACCGGAGTATACCAGCACATTCATCTTTTTGCTCGCCATGATGTTGATATGCGATGTGCAAATCGTATGCTGACTGACTGTTGGTGACGTTTAGTAGTAGTGCGGACCGAGTTTGGCCGACCGTGCTCAAATCAACTCTCTCAATGACAAGACCCTGCGCAAGTTTCCGCGACTCGATATCCTCACACCACGCGTCTCAAATCCTCTATCCAATTCTTTGAAGTATGTCAAACGAAGACAAATCTCGCGCAGCAGCAGCGCAGTTGCTGATTGACGATGAACCCGATGACTGGTGCGTATGAAATTCCAGCTTTTCGGTTTGGGTAGATGCGGAGATCCGGGGAAAACGAAGGAGAGGAACTCTGAACGTTAGAAGCGAAACAAGCTAACCAAGGTTTCGCAGGGACAAGCGCATCTACAGCACCGGCTGCGCAGACGAAAACGCAAAATTGACGGATTGCTACTATGAGAAGAAAGATTGGCGGGCGTGCAAGCAAGAGGTAAGTTCTTTCATGATGTGCGTTACTGCTGGCTTCCGAACCTTGGATGAGCCGAGGATTAGCCGAAAGAAGTAAAGCGTCTTTGACATACACCGAGACTGACATGGTGTCTAGATGGAAGTTTTCAGACAATGCTGGCAGCGGCATGGCAACGATAAAAGGACGGATTCGAAAGATGCTAAATGATAGCTGAACCAGCAGTCGAGTTCCACGAGTGCATTTGTAAGAGTACCTGTATCATCACCAAAGCAGAAGACGTGTAAACTAGAGTCAGACTGCAACAATTCGAAAATCAAGTCTTTTCGTTCATCGGTATACTAGACTACTTGTAGCAATGAAAGAGATCCTCGCCAGGCCGTTACAACGAACCCGTCATTGCTTAAACAGCATGACTCCACACGAGTTCATCGATCCCGTGTACCGCAAGTTCGTCTGAGCCTAGACTGGCTTTCGAAAGAACTTCAACCTCCCGGAAAGCGTGTTGTACTTAGTCTCGATGACCGAGCGAGACACGCACATGTGCGACAAACAAACTCGGCCGCATCCACTCACTTCCTCTCATAAATCGGCGGCACAACATCCGGGTGAAACGGGCTCTTCGCCGCATCCGCCTTCTGCTTATCAAAGTTCCACACACCATTCGTCTGCCCATCGTTGATACCCTCGCCAATCTTCTTGGCCAGCTGCTCGAACAACGGGTACTTTGGTGCTCTTGAGAAGAACTTTCGCTCCCACTCCTTCCCAGCCTCTTTCTCCTGTTGTCGCATCTCGCGCTGGCGGGTCTCGATAATGGTCTTCTCCGCGCTTGTCAGGTCCATGTTGCCACTGTTAATCGCATCCGACACCTTCTTCCACGCACGCCGTGTCTCGAAGTCGTCTTGTTGCTCGATGGCGGCGACGGTGAGGGGCGTTGTCTTTGTGGACTTGTGGTCGAATGTGTCCACGACGGCCTTGGTCTTGGCATCCTTGATCTGGAACGAGTCGGTCCACTGGCCGTCGGCCTTGTAGATGGCTTCCTTCTCCTTGCCCTCGGGGTATAGCACGGCGGTGAACGAGTTCTTCTTTCCGGAGACCCAGCCCTTGCCGCTGTAGTCGATGCGCGCGGTGTAGCCGGTGGAGGATTGGATGTAGGTGCTGCTGTTGAGCTCCACGTAGGGGGAGCCTGTGATGAGGCCTTCGATGTGGAGGGCGGGGAGGGTGATGAGGTAGCTTTCGTTGTAGTTGTCGAGGTGGAGCATGGCATGTCCGATTTGCTGTGAATGTTAGTGGTGTAGTTGAAATGTATTAAGGGTAATTACCTTCACATTGATGGTGGTCTTGAAGGACGCTTTCTGCGCGTTGTAGCCCTCCAGCCGGACGCCGTGTTGGTCGTTCCAGATGGAGTAAGCCGTGACGGGTGGATGATGACTGCGCGCATTGCATTAGCTCTCCCGTCCTATACGCGTGGCATGCTCACGACAGGCTGAGCCATCGCAAACGCGTGTGTGCGCGTACCTGACTTGCTCGCTGACGAGCTGTGTTGTGCCTGCCTGGTCCTCCCACTTGCCCAGGAAGAGCTCGCCCAGGAAGGGGTTCAGCGGCTTCTTTTCGCTACCCAGCTTTTCCGACCGACTGGCGTACTGCTGCTTCAGTGTGCTCAGGAACCACTTCAGCACCAGCATGGCCCGCTTGGCAGGGTCCTTCTCGGCGGCCGGTGCGACGAAGACGGAGGGGTGTTCGGTCCAGTATGAGCTATTGGGGTTAGTCTGTTTTCCTGGGCGGTAGATACGGCGGGACATACGAGAACTCGGTGAGCGACTTTGTGGAGAGGATAAAGGCAGGCGCCGTCATCGTGGACAAGTCGCCGTTGAAGGACGCGATGGACTGTCGTGTGTTAGTCAAATGCCATGTTCGAGTCGAATTACCATATTTCCTGAAGGTACGAGCCTACTCGCTGTGCGCGAATATCTCTAGACACGTGAGGATGCTGGGATAATTCCATACCTTGAGGAAGCTCGTCCATGAGCCTCTGGCCTGGGGTGGCACCGCCGATCCTTCTTTCTCGGCCATGATTGCGATGCACGTGTGCTAGGTATAAGTTGAAGGTGTGAGAGAAGTGACAAGAAAGCGTCGACAGGTGTAGACGCGCGTGTAGGGATCTGTGAAAGGCGGGGGTTGTCGAGGACTAGGGACCTTCGCAGTGGGGACGGAGGGCTGTTATGGAGACGCTGCGGACGGAGCATGTTTAGATTGGGCAATGACGTCGGAGCTAAGCCACACACCCGCCCAAACACAACGAGGTCATGACGAACAACATTATCGCCACGGGCCAGTCAGCCATGCTATTCCATTTATTGGTGCTATGTTACTATTGTGATATCTCGTGTACATTCGTCTAATCATGCTATTACATCTACGCGTTCCCCGTTCCAACGACGCGCTTAGGTCTTGACATCGGGCTCGGTGCGGCCAACGTACTCCTGGAGCTTGAGGAGGTCCGTGGCGAGCTTGACGTTGTCCTTGAGGTAGTCCTGCGCGTCCATGTCGTATGTCGACTCGTCGCTGGTGTGCTTCTCGATGTAGAGACGGATCGTGGCGCCGCTGCTGCCTGTGCCGGACAGACGGACAACGATGCGGCTACCGTCGTCGAACTTGACAAAGATACCCTGGTTCTTGCTGACGCTGCCGTCAAGGTCGGTGTAGGAGAAGTCATCTGCCTCGAGGACCTTGCGACCAGCGACGGTGGAGCCGATGAACTCGTCCTTCTTGGTGGTAATGAGCTCCTTCATGTGGGCGGTGACCTTGTTGGCACCCTCGGTCTCGCAGCCCTCGTAGTCGTAGCGGGTGAAGAATGTGCGGCCGTAGGTCGTCCAGAAGTCCTTCTGGATCGACGCAATGCTGGGTGTGGTTCCAGTCTGCTGTCCAACACCAGCCAAGATGTTCAACCACGCGACAACAGCCCACAGACCGTCCTTCTCACGGATGTGGTTGCTGCCGGTTCCGAAACTCTCCTCACCACAGATGTTCATCTTGTCAGAGTCGAACAACCCGCAGAAGAACTTCCAGCCAGTGGGCACCTCGTAGCACTCGACGCCCTTCTTCTTGGCGACAAGGTCAATGGCGCCAGAGGTAGGCATACTACGGGCAAGGCCGTAGATGCCCTGCTTCTTGAAGTATGGGATGAGCTCGGCGTGGTGTGCGATGATGGCTAAGCTGTCACCGGGCGAGACGAAAGAGTTTGCGCCGTAGATCATGTTTCGGTCACCGTCACCGTCGCTGGCAGCACCGAACTGGATTCCGTTCTTGTCAACGGCGTCGACCAGCGACTTGGCGTAGACAAGGTTGGGGTCGGGGTGGTGGCCGCCGAAGTCGGGCTTGGGGACGCAGTTCTGTGTGCTGTTGGGGATGCCAAGCTCCTTCTCGAAGATGTCGACACCGTATGAGCCAGTGACACCGCTCAGGCCATCGAAGAGGACCTTGAAGTCGGAGTGCTCCTTGAGGAACGACTTAATGAGGTCAAAGTCGAAGATGTCCTTGAGCATCTTGAGGTAGTCCTCGGTGGAGTGGACGATCTCAACCTCGAGGCTTCCGTACTTTTGTGTACCGATGGTGCTGAGGTCGATGTCGGGGATGTCGGCGATCTTGTACGAGCTGAGGGTCTTGGAGGTTTCGTAGATCTTGTTGGTGACGCTCTCGGGAGCCGGGGCACCGTTGGCGAGGTTGTACTTCATACCAAAGTCCTCGTCGGGTCCTGGATGTGTCAGATGTGAGGAGTGTATGCGTAGTGGAGGACTTACCACCGGGGTTGTGGCTAGCAGTCAGGAGGATACCACCCGTCGCCTTGCGTATCCGGATGATGTGACTGGCGGCGGGGGTGCTCATGATGCCGTTCTGGCCGATGAGAAGCTTCTTGACGCCATAGGCAGCGCTCATCTTGGCAATGGTCTGGGTGACCTCGGGGTTCCAGTAGCGGCCATCACCACCGACGACGAGGAATGCGCCCTCAACGCCTTCTGGGATAGATTGTAGGATGCTAGCAACGAAGGACTCTGAGTAGTGCTCCTGCTGGAAAACCTTGACCTTCTTGCGGAGACCAGAACTGTAGTGAAGAATGTCAGCTATCATCCATCAACGCCATAGCTTCATCAGCCCTCTCAGCTGTTGCAGGGTTGTTGAACTTACGTTCCGGGCTTCTGGTCCTGGAAAGGCTTCAATTCAACTGTTCGGACGCTCATATTGACTGTGTATGTTCTTCGAGCTTTGTGAGAGAAAGATGAAGCAATTGGAGAGTCGGGCGATGTAGCAGCTGGCAACTTTTGAGCTGGTGAGGGGCCCAGCTTCCCCCACCACGCGGGATGACGCCGGCGCTAGCTCATCAGCGGAAAGACCAACGCCACGCTGGCTATCACCGACGACTTTTTCTCGTCAATGTCCCAACACTCGCTGCGCCCATGCACTAGCCCTGCATCTGAGGCCGAGACACTGCACAACACTCCTGACTGACCACTCCCCGCCTCGCTTCGCCCCAGACCCTTTGCGGGGGTACCCTGGCCGTGTGAATACCATCGTTCCTTCCGTCTCGACTAGAACACACCTTCCTTCCCAACACCCTCAACCACCTGCTCAAAATGGGCGTCCAGGGCCTTGCGAGACGTCTCGAACCCTATGCGACGCGGCTTTCCTCCGAGCAGCTAGACGGCTACTCCGCCGTGATAGACGGCCCTGCGCTCGCCTACTACGCTCACAAATTGGCCCTCGCTTCAGCCGCTAATGCCACCCGAATCCCGTCTTATGCAGACATCGTCGCTGAAGCACTCCGCTGGCTGCACTCGTTGGAGTGGAAGAGCAAAATCAAGGTGTGAGTAAAGTACAGTTGCTTTTCAGCGCCCGGACACGGAACCACCACGGCAAGCCAATAAGGTGCGCACATATGTTCTTCACTTCACCGCCATTGCTGCAGGGGTCGCGAAAACTTCACTTATCGCGGAGTCGAGATGGGAAAGTTGCTTGATTGCACTTGACCGTGACCGTTCTATGCACGTTATGCGAATGCTGATGTGAGCTTATGCCGTCCACTGCTGATCGCACGTTCTCAGGTCTGCCATCTACTTCGATGGAGCCTTGCCTACGTCAAAGCGAGCCGAGAGGATATCCAGGACCGAGGCGAACAACAGACGAGTGCAGCAGTTCCGCAACAACTATGCTACCGTTTCCTGTCCTGTTCCCACATACCTAGGCTCCATCTCATACGCGTTCCTTGCGCCCGCACTGCAAGAAGCGCTAGTAGAGACCGATTCACCTTTTGCTACATGTACCCATACAGTACCGGGGGAAGCAGACGACTGGTGCGCATCCCACGCGAAAAAACATGTACGATCCATCATCTTCACGAGCGACACCGATCTTATTCTATACGACTATTCCGAAGATACGCTCATCGTATTTTTCCACGATGCAGACATCTCTACTGGTTTCAAGGCGTACTCACCAGCCGAGATCCGAAAGCAGTTACAAGTGACGAGTCTAGTGACGTTCGCATACACGCTTGTCGAGAACCCACAGGATAGTGCAAAGCTGCTAGCTCACCAAGCTGAGGATGTAGACCAGAAGTCTCGCCAGTACATTGACTTCGCTAGCCGCTATGTCGCGAAGATTACAATGCCGGCTTACCTTGAGGAACCAGACTTGGTAAATCCGCCCCAGATCGACGTCCGGCTATCTGAATATGTGCACCAAACCTTCACCAACAACGAAAACCCGCACGTGTACTTGCCTTTACTTATTGAAGAGCCATCCCAGGCATCAGCATGGAACATAGGGTGTGATATCCGTAGACTGGTTTACAAGCTACGTGCGACAATAGAGCATACGGTAGTACAAGAGTACAGAAGAAAAGCGCAAGGAGTGTCAATCCAGGAAGTTCCCATATACCCTCGGCATTTTGACCAGAGCCCAGTCGATGACCTGGAGTCACAGATGCGCAGCCTGAGATCATGGGGTGAGGAGAAGTCCGTCAGCTCACAGCTCCTATGGTCGCTCTTTGGTCTCAGTCTAGTGCTTACCGAACTCAACACGCCGCCTCCCATACCCTTGGTTCAGCGCGTACTGAATTGCGAGTTCGATAACAGTTGGGCTTTTGTGCACCTCACGGCTAGACTGCATGCTGCTCTCTACTCTCTTCGCATGTTACTCCAAATGGTCAAAGTCGCGAGGGCAATGATGGATCCTGACCAAACAATAGACCCCAGGGACCCACAAGAAAACGAAAACGCCAGGCTGCGCAGGACAGTGCACATCATCGCCGGTCACATGTCCGACTTCCCCTCAATACCGGACGTGATGGGTGTACCGGGACAGGCAAAGCGAATCTTAGCCGAACACGACGTGCTGAAGGAACTGATTGAAGAGATATATACGTCTGCTGGTGTGGGAATACCAAGCGAACAGATATCGAATAAGCAGAGGAAGAAGCAAATGAGGGAAGCAGAGAGGAAGAAGAAGAAGTTTGTCCAGAGAATGCAGGCGAAGCCGCAGGAGGGAAATGCTTACGCATTACTGGGTGATGGTTGATTGTATATGCTAAAGAACGGCGAGAACAATGGTAACCAAATCAAGACTGTCCACGCTCCTTTTATTAACGTCATCAATCAACCATCGAGCTATCAGCTGTCCTTGCTTCGTCGGGCGTGCACGCACAATCTGCGGAGAAATGATGTGCGATGTCTCAAATTGAGTTCGCACGGTTTCGTTTGCGCTTCGTACAACCTTCGTCGTACTGACTTCACAGCCATAGAGTTTAACATCGACATTTAGCCGTAGTGACATGCGGCGCGTTCTAAACCCGAACGCCGTTTTCGGCCTACTAAGCACGCGACCACCGACCTCTAGCTAGGACATCCACGCCGACCATCGATCGCCACAGACTTGTTCACGATGTCGGTCCAGCCACAATCTGGAGATGCGGCGCTATATGAACACGCTGTCACGCGTCCGCATAAAGTCATGGATGAACTGTAACGAATCTCGAGGGGCATTGACATCCGCGACGGACGTTCGGCCGAACAATTGAGTACAAGTAGAACGAGCAAATGCTTAAGAGCCTTGCACTTCTACATGATCAAAACGACTGCTTCTCTGCCATAACTTCAAACCATCATCACCACTTCTAGAACAGCACAGCACATTTCGCCCATCATGGCTTCACCAACCTCCCACCCCCAAGCAGACACCCTCATCCGCGCCGGCACAATCGAAACACTCCAACCCGGCATGCCACCACAGCGCTCCATAGCCCTCCTCTCCGGACGCATCATCGCACTCTCCGAGAATTCATCCGGCTTAGACGACTTCATCGGCAGCGAAACCCAAATCATCGACGTACCAGACTCCACCGTCCTCCCCGCATTCACAGATACGCATACACACTTGATTCTCGCTGGATTGACCTACTTCGACGTCCCAGTGCACGACGTCAAGAGCCTAGACGAACTGTTCGCAAGATTGAAGAAGCGGGCAAGTGAGACGAAAGAGGGGGAGTGGATTTGTACGGCGACGGATTGGTTGGAGTATAATATCAAGGAGCAGAGACTGCCTACGTTGAAGGAACTCGATGCAGTATCCACTAAACATCCCATCATGGTGATGCGCGGTGGGCATAACGTCGTTGTCAACTCCTTCGTCACAAACCTGTTGAACATAACATCCGACACCCGATCACCACCCGGCGGCCTCATCGGAAAAGAAGCAGACGGCAGTCTCTCCGGCCTACTCCAAGATTCAGCCACAGTGCCCGCGTTGAAGCTGAAGCCCTCAGTGACCCTCACAGAACGAGTCTCCGGTCTAGAAGCCGCATCCGCCGCATACGCCGCAACAGGCACATCCAGCGTCCGCGACTGCTACGTCCCCCTCCCGGACCTAGACGCCCTCATCGCCACGCACTCCGCCGGAAAACTTGCCGTGCGAGTCCACGCCCTGATACCCGCCGTAGGCATGACCACCGCCTCACAAGTCGAATCCCTCCTCTCCAAAATGGAATCATACCGCCACCTCGAAACCGCCCCCTACCTCTCCGTCTGGGGCGTCAAATTCATGGTCGACGGCGGCATGGAAGCAGGCGCCGTATCCTCTCCCTACGTGTCCACCCCGCCCGGCCGCGAAAAAGACGCAGATTGTAATTGCTGCGGCCTACCCTCCTACCACGGTATGCTCACGTGGGAGAAACCCGCTCTGGTGGAAGCCATGACCGCAGTCGTACGTCGAGGCTGGAAGATAGGGACGCATGCTTATGGCGACCGTGCTGTGGGGTTGGTACTGGATGTATACGAGGAACTCATGCATCGGTTTCCGTACTTACAGCCTGGGACTCTGGTTATGGAACACGGAGGCCTAGTGTCCCCCAGCGAACAGATCCGAGCCGTGGAACTCGGGATTGCGACGACGATCCAACACCCGCTTCTGCATAACGCAGCGGGGGTCCAGGAGGTATACTGGGGCACGGAGCGCGTATCTCGCACTTTCCCCGCACGGACATGGCTGGATGCTGGTGCGCTGATAGCGGGCGGGAGCGATTATCCTGTTGGTAAGTTTGCGGCTATGCGGTCGGTTTGGGGGATGGCGTCAAGAGAGACGGTGATTGGGGTGAGGGGGGTTGAGCATGCGATTAGTGTGGAGGAAGCGGTTGCGTTGCATACGACGAAGGCGGCGGAACTGCTGAGGGAGGAGGGGGAGAGGGGACGGCTGTTACCGGGGTTTGTGGCGGATTTGGCGGTTTGGGGGGTTAATCCGCTGAAGGTAAGTGATGTGGACGAACTGAAGGACATGATGCCGAGCCATATCTCCGTTGGGGATAGGTTCGTGGCGGTCTAGTGTGAATTCAGGAGATAGAAGGATAACATAGCTGTCGGTTGCAATAAACAACACTACATACATCACGAATCCGTTTGCATAGCACTCGTACTTAATGCTGTGACAGGATACGCTAGGTGATCAATGATCATCAAGCAAGCGAATGATGATTCTGGTATCTAAACCTCAAGAAATAATGCGACGCCCATCTAGATGCCGCTATATGAACACAAAGAAATTCGTCATCCGCCTCTTACTACCTAGCAAAGTAATCCCTCGCCCCATCCCTACTAGGACTATACGGCGTATACTGCTGCTGCCCACCCAACCCACTCCCCACGCCCATCGGCGCAGCCCCACTAACCAACCTCCCCTGATCGCCTCCAATCTCATAAGGTGACTCTCCCCTACTATCCACGCCCCTCAGATCAAGACTAGGACTAGGACTATACTCGCGCAACGCACTGGGTGTTTGATGGTAGCCAGCAGGATACAACACGCCCGGATCGTCGCGCATAGTACGTTCCGAATCGCGACTTGTACTCCTCCCCCGATCACTGTTGCTCGTCGAGTTATTATCGCGGCCCCAATGACTCCCCGGTGTATCAGGCCGTCCGACCGTACTCCCGCCATACAAACTGCCCTCCCCGCCGTGTTCATCGCTGAACTCGGGTCTATTCTTGTAGTTCTCGTAATCCATATTCGATTCCGACACGAATTCAAAGGGGCCGGTTCCGCCCCCTCCTCCACTTGAGATGTTGGCTGAGGCGGCGGTTTTGCCAGGGTGTTCTTTGGACATGCGTTTCATAGTGTAGACGTCGGAGAAGGCGGCGGTGTCGCCGATGTCGCCGTCGAGGCGGCCGCGGTAGACTTCTGCGAGGAGGTGTTTGGATTTTTCGTGCACCATGGGGACGGTGAGTTTTTGGTAGAGGGCTGGGTGGCTGTTATAACATATCAGTAAATCGTTCTTTTGTCGTTGCAAAGTGTAGATGACTTACCCGAATCGTACGGCGACGCGATCCCTACGACGCGATTCCTTGTCGATTGGGGTTGGGGCTTCGGTGCCCTTGGCGCGTGTGCCTTGCGTGTAGTACTTGAGCGAGTGGTCGAAGGCGTTCTTGCAGTAGAATTTGAAGGCGATTAGGCCGAGAGGGAGAGGGGCCATGGCGGCCAGCATGGTCCATTTGTGTTCGTAACCGCGGGCTACGACCAGCAGCGCGACGATGCAGTTGGAGAAGAAGGTGCCAACGAGCATACGGTTGAAGAGCACACGCCAGAAGGCGCCACCAGATTCGTTCTTGGTGCAGAAGACGTACCTAAAAAGCCATTAGTTAAGGCACATGAGTACGTTGGGGCTGAGACTCACATCAGAAGATACTTCTTCATCCAGCTATCGAGCGTAAAGTAAATAGCCACAATAACCAGCGTAATCGGCTGCAGCGGCGCGAAACACAGCGCAACCGTCGAGTAAAACAAAAAGTAATTGTAGTAACTCGCATAGTCAAACGGCGGCGGCGCAGTCCGACTAATCAGCTCCCTGGGCGTCGGGTTCAAGAACTTGCGCGAGAAACTTCCCCACGCGAGGTTGACCGCCTGGGCAAGATCGATAGCAGCGCCCAGGTTACGCTGGACGAGCCATGTGACCCAAAAGGGCGAGACTTCGCATAGGGTACGCATGGTCGTGTCGAAGAACTTGATTTGGCGTAGGATATCCATGAACGGAACGTGTTCCTGGGTTGCGAGATTGACAATCATGACAATCATACCAAAGACGGCGCTGAAGAGCGAGAAGACGAAGAGATTGTTGAAGACAAAGAAGGCGTATAATTGGGCTGTGACATGGCGCTCTCGAGATGTCTTGGTTGTGTCTCCGGCCTTGATGGACAAGCGGCGAAAGATGATGGGGAGAAAGTAGTAGAAGAGCGAGGTGAGTGCCGGAGCAGCGAGACCTTGAACGACGGCCCAGAAATCGGCGTGTGCGGCTAGTTCGGTCTGGAAGGTAGGCCATACAAAACCCAGGTTAGAGAGTTTGGACAGGAAGACGGCAATCAGGGCGTTAGGGATGAAGTATAGAAGTGTGAGCAGCGTGATCCAGAAGTTGTTCACAGTCCTCCTCCATCGTCGCGTCTTTGGGTCGAGGGTAAGGTTTTTCCAGATGATGTCCTTTGGCTTGGGTGCGAGTCGGACGGTGGTGCCTTTGACGTGCTTGCTGCGGGCTGCGAAGGCGACCATGTGCGCAGAGTCGATACTCTCGTAGCTGGCGAATCCGTACGATAGAGCGTCGCGCTTGTCGATTGTCTCCCGCACCTCCTTAATCTTGCTCTCCAATCGCTGAATGCGCGCTGTGAGGTAGTCGATTGCATCCACCTTTTGCGCCTTGTCGGTGAACTCTGGGTCTTTCTTCGAGGGAGTACATAGCGGTCGCTCGGCGGGTAGCTTGTTCGGGTTCTTCAGGTATTTTGCCAATATCTTCTCCAGCTCAATGACGGCCTCTTCGTGTGCCTCGATGAGATCTGGGATATCCTTCACGTTGCGTCCGATGGATGCGCGGGGCACCTCTGGCGTAGTCTTCAAGCTATCCGTAACCTCGACGATGCCCTGATCACTGCGAAAGCTGCGGTCGATATCCGTAACCATCAACGTCCGCGCGTGCAGACTGTTCTGGTAGTCTGGGTGTTCGAGGTACTGACGTCTCATCCGGTGTACAGCGCGGTACATCCACCACAAGAAGCCGCAAACGATGATGTCGATGAGGTATGCCAGCACGACGAAAGCCCAGAAAACCTGACCAAATAGATCTCTAGGTGTCATCAGGAAGATAATCTTGCCGCTCATGTCTCCATCGAAATTCTTCTGGAATTCCACCGACTTGATGACGTTGACAGGAACGATAATGCCACAGCCAACGATGGCGAGTACGACAAACATGTTCCTGCACATGCGCGCAAAACGCAGGAAGAGGGTCGCATCCAGTCCAATCTTCTCAACATATTCGGGTTCGTTTGTCTTGAACACGGGCTTGTACCACGCAAACAGCGATTTGTCGAGAGGCGGCGGTCGGTGTTTCTCGTCGGTGTGGCGGAGACGGGGCGCGTAAACGATGGTATTAAAAGGACGTAGTAGGAGGAAAAGTATGAAAATGGCGGCGGTGATGCCGAAGGATGTGCCGATAGCGACGAGGACGGAGTCTTGGGATACCTGGGGGTGTTAGAGTCGCATGCGAAAGATGGGGGCTGCATGTACCGAAGCGCCCAGGGCATTTTCTGTCATCAACTGCTCGAACTTCTGCTCTATGCTCAGGTCCCGCCGGAGCAGCACGTTCGGTACTGTGGATGCCATAGCGAGTGACGGGTGTAACGTGTAGCGAAGGTGTGGTAGCGATTGTGGTAGCACGTGTGATGGGTACACGTGGTAATGGGGGTCGATCTCGGGTCCGAGAGCTCAGCGCATGTCTTCCTCGTGTTCCCCTCTCTCTCACTGGGATCTGAGTAAGATCTGCTGTATCGTAAAGATCGCCGTTGGTCGTATTCGGGGTTATTCGGCTTCAGAAAGAAAAATGACAAGTGGGTATACGCGCAAAGCAGAAAGAGTGTACAAAGCAAAGTGTAAGGAAAGCCAAGAGTGAAGCAAGCAACGGCAGCAGTAAGCAGTAACGGCAGTGAGAGAGAGTTCAGAGCTACGAGCAGTGCCTCGCGTCCCTTGCCCGTGAGAGCGGATGGAAAAGGACCGTCGATCCCTGTCGTGCCCTGTCAAGATGTCGGCGCTAGAGGGAGCTGTGACGCCTCGCTAGAGCCAGACCCTAGCCGCCTTCCACCAGGCACGCCCACCCATTGGCTGTCCCAACGCGCCGTTTTAACGCCGGGTACGCGGCTCTGCCATGGCATCTCTGGCGGGTGGTTTTTATTTTTGGCCTGAAGGGCCTGGCCAGCTGCTCTAAGATTTCCAGAGAGATCGCCCCTTAGTGAGCTCGGAGTAGTTTGCGGAGAGCGGAAGAATGAAGCTGCGCTATGCTTTTGCACTGCCACCCGCTCACGCAAGGTCAATGAAGTTTGTACAAAGTAACGCGAGAAGTGACGCGATGCATAACTCGACGAATGAGATACAGAAATGTGGCGGTGCGCAGGCGGCTCTTCGGATTTGATGAGGCTTGTCCAGTCCACTCTCGTTTCAAATATGCATGTTTCGGACGATATGAAATGGGCCACGTTTATGCTTGGAGATGGATCGTGGGTTGTGACGAGTTTTATTGGGTGCCGATGATCCGTGAACTCGGTGCTGCCGAGATCCTAGCCAGCAGTGAAATGCGATGTGTGTCGGAAGTGGGGAAGATGCAAGGCACGCCGAGCCATCTTGAGGATATTCATGATCTCAAGACTCATGGCGGAGTCGCACAGAAGAGATTGAATCAACATTGAAGGTACTGATGAAGTAAGAATGCGGAAGTTGCATCGGACTCAATCAGACGTGCAACTACCAAGGTACATCTAAGAGCTGTAAATCGAAATTGGTATTTCCTCAGTCTGCAAGTACAAGTCAAACAGAACCGTCTTCGCTATGCCATGAATTGTTTCCGGGTGGTGAATCTCGCTGGTGTCGATTTGAGAAGACTTCCAACTGTCGTGAGGCACTGTGGTAACAAACCAGGCACCTGCCACTGCAATCCACGACTGTGCACAAGTTACCCGATTCGGACATGCCCACGAAAACCAAATACAGCACAACACCACCGACAAAGCTCAAATCGTACTGAACAGGTGCTCCAGATATCAGACGTTACATTGTGACCTTCAGATTGATCCTGCCGTAGTCTTTAAACGGAAATCACGTAGTCATCTTTCTCTTGGAGAGAGGACGGATGGTGGGTGTAAAACACCCATCACGGCACCCATCGAATCAGCCAAAGAATTAATCAACCACCACCCTCACAAAATCATACCCCAAAGTTGCACAGATCAATGAATTTCGCTTTTACCCATCTAATCTACCCTTACTAGCAATCATCCCGTTCGTTCATTCATCCA